TCTTCATTCCAGATGTTTGAAACATCCCAAATTCTTTTGGAGAAAGAATTTTTAGTTTCATTTCCACTATCAAATTAATTTCACATTTTATTATTATTGCTCTTTATGCATACTGTTAATGATTGGATGCAGGATGAGCATCAAATACCATTATAAATGCTAGTGTAGTCATACTACTTACCTAAGTGTTATACATGATTTGGAAGGTTCATAAAGTATAAGCACTTTATATATTTGCATCATATTTTGTATGAAATACATATAAGTACCCCAACCACTGTAAGAATTTTTGATGCTCACAGATGGGTATGGTATGCATTTGTCACTGATCTGCCATATACACATTTTCTTTCTGACCTGTTAAAGATGTTGTTAATTTATTCAAGACCAAATTAATCTCCGTATAGCATTCAAGTCAAAAAAATGTAACATAGTCCATTCTATGAATGCATATATAGTGTGGAATAATAAAATCAGAGTAAAATACAAAGGAAAAGCTGAAGAAATAATTATATTTCAATGAATTCTTGTTCAAATTTATCAAAGGGTGTTTTTTATTTTAAGAGGGAGTGAGATTGATGAGTTCCACAGGCTTACAAAGGGCAGTGGTGCATTGGAGCTGCTCCTGCCAAGGTTGTCCAAATATAGCATATGGATCACAGATATCCATGGATAATACCTGGTTTTTGCCGATCCATGACAGTCCCTATCATATTCTGTCAAACAAACTTATAATAAAACAAGCAATCTGTTCCAAAATAAGCATGAACCATATAATTGTCTCATAGATCCTAATTGTTATTTCCTGGGCCAAAGCAAAAAATTATTCTAAATAACAATTAGAATCTATGAGACAATTATATGGTTCATGCTTATTTTGGAACTGATTGCTTTTTTTATTATAAGTTTATTTGACACAATATGATGAATATACAATTCCATCACCATACATAGAAATTGAGAGCAAATATTTCATGAAAACAAGGATTCCAGGCTATTCCAAAGTTTTGAGTGCCTATGATTACACATATGTAGCCCTACATATTTGTCACTGTCTCAGTTGTTAGTCCAGCCATCGAGGCCTTAGAAAAAAACTCAACCCCATATGGTTATCAAAAATCCTGGACCCCCCTTGTATTACTTTTTGAAATCTGATATTGGAAATAATTGGATGCAGCTTGCAGAAAAGTGTAACATTTTACTATACTGTTTTGTTTTCTAGTGAGTGAAAAGTCCTAACATTAAATGTCGGAGTTTTCTAATATTGGTTACAGCCGGTTACTGCCAGTTCCAACCGATGCAATCACTGGTGGCCGTTCGGACCGGTTACAACCGAAGAGTGGTTGATTGAAACCATGTTCAAACCATCGTTTCAACCAAGTCCTAACCAAATTTCAACAACGTGTACTATGATCACAACCGTATTGTAAGCGTGAAGCGATGAGAAAGTTGTAGTCTAGTTTTTTGTAGTCTACTATATATTTTGTAGTCCCTAATTCTATTCAACGTTGTCGTCTATTGTATTGTATTGTATTGTACTTAGTGGTCGTAGGGTATTCTATTTAATTCTATTCGACTTTGTAGTATTGTTTTCTATCTATTGTATTGTACTTACTTGTGTCTATTCTCTATTCTATTCTATTCTACTTAGTAGTTCTATTTATTCTATATTGCATTAGCCGGGATTCGAACTCTTTAGCTTATGGTCTTACTTACCTTTGGTTAGTGATCGATAGTTACCGCTATGCCAGCGGGTCATATATTTAGTATATAAATTGGGTTAACATAATGAGCAATTGGTTCTCAAGCAGTATATAGAGCTCCTTAAACTTAAAGCACACCGATGCACTTCACACCTTACATGTGCATGATGAACATAACAGTGAACAAACGAGATTGAAGGCATCCATAACTACAGACAGTGGTGACTAAGTTTTGCGCGCGCGTGGTTTGCGAGGCTTGCGAGTACCTGGTACAGCCTCAACAACCTCCGCCGCTGTGTCCTGAACAGTTCCCTTCTCCCTCGCCTTCCCTTTTTTTGACTTCTCTACAACCCTGGCTTCTGGCGTGACCAATGTAGATGGAGCTGCATGACGTGTTGTTGAAAGTGGCTGTTCCTGTGCGACAGACGCCGGATTGCTAGGGCTGTGCTCCTGCGATGGTCCGGCGCTGATGATTCTTTTTTCGGCATTAGAACTGGTGGGAAGAGTGTCGAGGGCGACTTGTTCGATATTTCCGTGAGTAGCAAGTTCAGCAGGGGCAAGGGAGAGTGTGTGGAATTGATTGGTTGCATCCTCAATGCCACTGCTTTCGTCCCCATCTCCTGGATCATTCGCGATCGTATTCACCATAGCCGACCCGAAGATAATTTGATTGTAGAGGTCGAATAGCACTTTCCCATATGGAGTGTTGAGTTTCTGGATGATAAACATCTTGTACAAGGTAAAATCTTTCCTGTAGTCGATACCAGTCACAGCTCCCTTCCCAGCGGAAAGCTCAGGATCAGGAGAGAAGATGAAACGAACCTTATTGAAAGGAAGAAACCAATTAAAAAGTTACATAGTTCGCAAGCAGTTTAAAACGTACCAGAATGGCGATGCCGGCAATAGAACCAGGCGTCACACCAAGAAGCCCCCACAAGGTGGCACGCGTTTTCGGCTTTGCGTATTTGCCGACCTTTGTAATTGACGCAGCGCCAGTCAATAAACCTTTGAGAGCCTGATAGCGAGTGAGCGATCCAGCGTACAACGATGTAATTGAAGGCTTACCAAAACAAGCTGTGGGTTCATGAAAACTTTCGTTCGATCATCGATACGGCGTCCGTCCGACTCTCGGGCAGCATATAAAACAGGAGCGAACTTGGGGTACTTATTCCGTGCCATGTCCCAACGCAGAAGCTCCTGGAAGTCATTGTTGCTTGCCCGCTTGGCAGCATGACTAGCACCGATTTGATTCACAACATCACGAAGTTCGGCACCAAATATCTTCGGAATGATCTTGTCGCGAAGCTCTTTGAGAAACGTTGAGCGAACCTTATGGTGTTTATTGCAAAACTACAAATATCGTCAGAATTGTTGCGTGAAGTAAAAGACTTGTAAAACTCACTAAGACGCCGAATTGACTGTGCTCCCTCATCAAACCGTGAAAGCGTTCAGGAACCGTCTCATATATTTCCAATAAGACGCCAGCTTCCTCAGCCGCCTTTGTAACGTATCTCTGGGGGCTGTTGACGAGACTCTGTTGGGGATGAGAACTGTTAGTAATGACTGTATTGTAGTTGTCCGGAAGGAACAGTTCGCAGGTAAGGCTGAACATTCGACCAATTGACGTGATCTCCTCTTCATGCTTTGCAATAACTTGAGGATACCCACTGTTGCCTTGACTACGTCGCGAGCGCTTTGGCTGGTTGACTTTGATCGTCGCCAACTCTTCACAAAGTTGACAAACCTCCTTATCGCGCTTGCCACACAATAACTGTGCTTTTTTTAAATCCTAAACTTTCCAGTGAACGTAGAACTTTGGATACAAAGAGAGTACGAACCTCGTCATACTCTTCTCTTGTTGGATTTGAGCTGATAGTCAAGAGGTGTGCCGTTCCACTGCGAGAAAGGAGATCATTCTCGGGGTCAGACTCATCCGAACTCGACGATCCGCTGGATGGAGCATCAAACTCTTCGCCACTGGAGCTGGGAGGTTGGAGTTGGCGGCGAGGCATACCGAAAGGAGTCCGTCAGCAGCGTAAGTGTGAAGGTGAGCTTGAGTTGTCAACGGGGAAGTTTGAAATTTGAGCGAGGTTTGATATTTATTGATATCTTGACGTAATTTGCAGCAAGGCGTCGGTATTTTCGAGTTATTCACCGTTGACTTGCATGGCCGGTGAGTGTATTAAATGCACTGCCATGTAATAGCGTGCCAAGCATGGTACTACATAAATCTGAAGCAACGATGAGCAGGGACAGAAATAAACAAGACGTACTACATTGTTCTGCATGTCACTCTAACCCCGCTCTTTCAAATGGATAGAAAGATCTGTTTTTTTAGTTAGTTGCGTTGATTGGAAACTCGCACCTACCAACAGATTGTTCAGGTTAAAAGACCTTACCAATACTGTGGACAGGTTGAATCTGGGAGAGGTAATAAATATTGACACTCGTGCCGATTTAAAATTAACACCGGTTGCGTCGGACACTTGGGCATCATATGTGCTGCATGAAATCAATGAGGCTGGAACTCCAGGCCACAAAGCAGGATCGGATAAGCGGCCGTTGATGTGAGCCAACTACAGTCTGCATGCCGCCAGCCATGCAAGCACTCACAGTTGCAGTCCCCAAGGGCTCAAAGAGCATGACTGTAGGAATTGAGGAAGAAACGGAGGGAGGGTGTCGAGTCCTGATCAGGCATCTGCGCGTTCCTCGCTTCTACGATGATCCGTTTGAAGGAGGATTTGAAAATTGAGGGGTCCGTAGCGAAGCGATATGAGGAGAATACCATTGAGGAGGGGTGCCTGGCAAGGAATTGTTCACGGGTAGTGGTAGGGAGGGAATCCGGTCTTCAACATCCTCCTCTTCCACTAACACCCTTCGACATCGAGTTCAGGGGGCTCAGTTTCGCGCTCGGTTTGAGGCAATGATGGTGGTGGATCCACAGCACGTTCATTGCTTTGATTGTGTGAATGGCTGGCTTGTTTGGGGTAGCCGACTGAGCACGAAGGTTTGCAAATGCGTCGAGTGGGAGAGGCAGCGGAGTTTGTGGGACAAGTGGCATGTTCGGTGAAGTCGTGACAGGCTCCGAGTCAGAAATTTGTGCGTTCGCAGTGTCAACACTAGCTGAGGCTCTACGAGAGCTTCTTCGACGTCTCGCCGTCGGAGATGGAGCAGTTCTATCCTCTGCTTTACTTGGTAAGTAGTGTTCGCAAGTTCAGTTCAGTCCGGTTTTTTGCCCCCAAAACGCGCAACCGCGGACCGCAACCGGTCTAGGACTGACCCAGATATTGAGGGAACCGAACCGAACCACCTAGGACCGGTCTATTTCGGTCTATGGAGCCGGTTCAGACCGATCCAGACCGGTTTTTTTGCGTATAATTTATTATACCAATATAAACCATTTGTATCTTGACTATTATTACTCTGAAAAATAAACGGGTTATATGAAATAGTAAAGCATGTAAATACCCATTATTCTACCAATTTTGAAGAGATTTAATGAATATTTGACATAGCTATGACTGAAACCGAATTACATCTCATAGAGACTCGGGTAAAATATGGATTTGGTTATATCTTTTTCAAATTTTAACCGTTTTTGATGAAACAAAAACCCAATAAAAGGTAATAAACGTGGTTACAAGGGTATGTAACGCACGTGACCGTTTAACCGGTTGCAACCGATCAAAACCGGTCTTTGAACGGTTTTAATATATTTTCGAAATGAGGCAACCGGCAACCGGACCAACCCCAAATTGGGGCAACTGCAACCGAAAAAAAGACCGGACCATGGTCCGGTTCAGTTCGGTCCACCGGTTTTTTGCGGTCCTATGGACTGAACCTTTAAACACTATTGGTAAGGACCTCTTCATCCTTCGGGTCTTGAAACACCTACCAAACCTTTTTTTTCTTGTCTTTCCAAAGGTCTCAGCGCCTACCATTGCCATCCCATGCATAGAGAGGGCGTTTCGCGGACGGCGATACGTCGTCTCAAAGCCTCAGAGAGCCATAGAAAGGTGGAAGAGTTCCGGAAGATAGAGGGTGGCATGGGGCCATTCTGCAGAAGACGAAATGTCGTCTTGGTGCCAGGAGGGATGCAAGACACTGTGGAACAGTCGAAAAAACTTGCCAGCATGTAGAGAGGGTGTTGGGCGGACGACGACTTGAAGATCAACAGTACGGCTCGATGAAACTTGCGTTGAAGGTGATCAGGGCGTAGTTGATGTAGTTGGTGACGTTGCAAAGGCTGGGGAACCTTTGGGAGCTGGTAACGGACGTAAACAACCTTCAAACATGTAAGCAATCACCTTATGACGCAATCAAACGTGAAATTCACCTTTATCCGAAAGCTACAGCATGCAACTGATTTCAACAAGGTCAACGACGTCCCAACGCGTTCGGCAGACGTTGATACGTCGTGTTGAGCATTGGAAAGGTGGATTGAAGGCGGTAACGTGTTGAAGCGGCTAAAGGTGAAATGTAAGTCCATGAACTGCATAACAATGGAAACTAACGACTTACTTGGAAGATTGACAGTAAACACGCCGCAACTTGAAGACGGACTTGCGTTGAGGGCGGCTAGGGCATACTTGGTGACGTTGCAAAGGCTGGGGAACCTTTGGGAGCTGGTAATGCACGTAAACGACCTTAAAAGAAGTAAGTAATCACCTCATAACTCAAAGCAGCATACAACTTACCTTTACCCAAAAGCTACAACATGTGACTGATTTCAAGAACGTCAACAACGTCCCAAACGCGTTGGGCGGACATCGATACGTCGTGGCGAGCCTTGGAGAGCTGGATGGGAGGCGGTGACGTGGCAAAGCGAAGAAAAAATTGAATAACAAAGGTATGTCGAACCCTTTGCCGTATCTTCATTAACTGTTGGCGCCGCCGCGTGTAGTCGTTCGTCATTAACGGAAAACACAACTGAGTCCCGGGAGCACCACGTCGTGCCCCGATAGCGATTGGCGGACTTTGATACATTGCGTCAATGCAAAACGGGGCTGGGATGACTCTAAATGAAACAGGTGAGTTTTTTTTCGTGTGTATGGTGTTGAAATACTGAAAAACCTTTTTATCTTTGCCTTTTGCAGGTTCTCAATTGCAACCCATCCCATCCAGCATCCAAAGGCGACCCATGCATCGAGAGGGTGTTTGGCGGACGACGATACGTCGTCTCAACGCCATGGCAAGGTGGAATGATTCTGGAAGCAGGAGGGTGATGTGGGACCGTTTTGCGGAACTCGATACGTTGTTTTGGGGCCAGGAGGGGTTCAGGATGTTGTGGAAGGGTCAGAAACACTTGCTACCACTCAGGGAGGGTGTTTAGCGGATGGCGATACATCGTCTCGACGTCGTGGCATGGTGGAAAGGTTTTGGAAGTAGGAGGGTGACGTGGGACCGTTTGGCAGAAGACGATACGTCGTCTTGACGCCAAGAGGGGTGCATGACGACTGGTAGCTACCACTTACATCATGTACTCCTGAGCTGTACCATAGAAGTTCCTGCTTAGCTACCATGAATGAAATGAAATGAATTTTCATTCATTCACGGCACCTGTTTCATTCTAGATAATTTATTCTGTTTCATTCATTCCTGGCGACTGTTTCATTTTTTTCTTTCATTCCACCAGGGCAACTGTTTCATTCCTTGCTTCATTCTTCTCAGGTGCCTATTTCATTGTTAGAGCTGGGAAAATGATTATGTAATTGATACAAAATATTTAAGTGCCTTATTTGGCAACAGCATGCCTATCTCATTGTGTATTTGAGCCTCAAATGCAAAAGTACCCCCATATGGCCTCCCACACCACTGCAGTAGGGCACAACACATATCAGGCATAATTGTATATTATTTCCTTATTTAGATGTGTGTTAAAACATCGAAATTGTTGCCTGAAAGAATGAAACAAAAATGAAATAACTGCCTGGAAAGAATGAAATGAAAATTCCATGGCAATGAATGAATGAAAAAAATGAAACAGTTGCCAGGAATGAATGAAACGAAAGAATAAAGCAAAAAATGAAACAGTTGCCATGGTGGAATGAAATTAAAAAAATGAAAGAGTCACCAGGCATGAATGAAACAGAATAAATTGCATTCTTGTCAGTAGAAATGAAGAAAAAATTGAGATGAAATGAAATGAAACAAAAAGTATTTCATTCTCGACGGCAATGAATGAGAATGACTTGGAATGAAACAGGTGCCGTGAATGAATGAAAATTCATTTCATTTCATTCACGGTAGTTAAGCAGGAACTTCTATGGTACATGCCAGGTTTTACATGATGTAAATGGCAGCTACTAGTGGCATGACGTTGTGGAAGCGTCTGAACACTTGCCACCACGTAGGGAGCGCGTTTAGCGGATGAAAATACTTCGTCTTGTTGCATGGGAGACCGATGGGGAGGAGGAAGGGTTCGGGAAGCTGGAGGGTGGCGTCGGACTGTTTTGCGGAGGACGATACGTCGTCTTGAGGCCAGGAGGGGTGCATATTGTTTTGGAACAGTTGGAAAAACTCTAAATTGTGCGTTGTAGGACACACATTTCAGCAGCCTTCGAGAAGCCGTATTGGGGTTTGAACTGGTAGTTAAGTAGGTGAGCGGTTGGAAATGAATGGGAAGAGGGAGGAGGGTACCATGTCATGCGAGTGCTTAACGACCTCGAATCGATAAGCTAATTCTGCACTCCTGTATCCTACGGCAAATCTACATGAGTGTCGTTCAGCTGGTAGACAGGCAAGGAGAGCATGTACCTTTGACCTAACAAAAAGCGTATAAGATCCTACACATTGCGCGCCGTGTCAAGTCTATCCTGAAGACTTTGGCCTCGACGTGAGATGAGACGCGCTCGTTGGACACGTTATCGCTCATGCTGATTCCTCGCATACCTCACCCATTCCATGAGCTTCCCATGTGCCGCAAAAACCTTTGCAGGAATAGAATCTCGACTCCTCTTCTTGCCTCCCTCGCGACGATCATGAACTTTTTGATAAGATCTTAATATCCCCCAAGTTCTTGTTTGTGCAGAGGGACGTTCAAATGTGGGGTAAGATGTGTATGCTAGCCGGAAAGGGGCATCGTTGAACTCTTGTGAGATTGCTTCGATGATAAGTAGTGGGAGAGCTCCGCGGATTAGTGAAGAGACAGAGTGATTACATCACATGATCTCAAAGATAAGATTCTCATCATTTCTGTCATCTGTCACCCCCTTCACTCTTGTCAGCTTCTCGGGGTCAAAACATTATCATAATCTTATATTTTCTATCCGTCTCAATATTGCATATTCCTTCTACATTACTATTTCATATATATATTGAATTTAGTGGTTTAGAAACCGGTAGGCTTCAACCCTTCGCAGTCGGAGAAACATATCTGTATCAACAGTGTCAACAACGTGATACTCATCTGGTTTCTCAAATTCTGGAACAATATATGCACCCCGAATGATGGAGCCAACAGGAATAAACTCTGCCTCACGACGGTGTTTAGCACGAAGATGGATAAGGCCAAGGTCCCGCTCTTTTCGCTTCAAAAGTCCTGTTGGTCCATCTAATGGGTGAACTAGTGCAAAAGGATAGGGTGTGTCTGCCAGTGTGAATGTGAAGATGAAAATGAGGCGGGCAAATATGAAGACATCTGATGCAGTTGACATCTTCACCATTACACAGTCATAGCGTGGAGCATTGTTGAAAGAGGGATTGCAGCGAAGCAGATCCGTCTCCTTACGCCATATCACACAAGACTCATAATGAATGTGGAGATATCGAAATTCAGTGATCTGGATAGTTATTTTTCACATTTATCAAAACTATGCAATAAATGAGACTTACTGTCGTATGCTTATCGACTGTGAAGTATTTGTTCTCCGGACGTGGAATATTGTGGACAACACAGAATTGATTGAGGAAAGGAATTAACTTTTTTCGAAAGTCTTTGAATGCAACATCTGTGTCCTTGAGTTGCATCTCAATGTTGTGAATTGTTTCTGGGGGTTGTTTTGCTCCAATCTTCAGTTTACCGTTTTTATATGGATTGATATGTACTTCTTCCTCAGATTCTTCCTCCTGTGATGTCTTAGAGGTAGCATGTGAGGCATCATAGACATCAATGCGCTCTCGAATGCAAAGTGAAATGAGACGCCAATGATCAAAGGTTAGAATCTATAGTTAAGTGAGATTGGTCATTTTTCATGAATTTAAAATGGTAAGAAATCACCTGGGGAACAACATCCTTGAAATTGGTTTGACGGAGATAGATTTCTCGCAGTGGGCCATGCATTTTTTCATTTGGCTTGGTACTTGTATTTTTTGTGGCACCTTTTTCTTCAATATCATCAAAGATATGCTCAAGGGCATGTCGCTTGGGGAAACTCCAGTTCTTCAAACTTTTTCCATCCTTTGGTGGTGCTCTAGACTCTTCATATTCCTGAATAAATATTTGAATCAGTCCTATATTATTTGAGAGGTTGAAACTGACCTTCAATACTTTACAAAAATATGCTACCTCTCTCCTCCCCGCAGCAATTGTTTCAGAGGTTTGAACTTCAAGAGCAGCATACATATCCACATTCAGATAAGCACGTGCACATTTCAGCAAACGAAATCCTTCTGGACTTGCAGATTCTGTTAGAATATTGTGTGCCACAAAGGGAAGCATCTTTCACAATCATAATGTTTATAAGAAGTCTTATTGAAAGTAGATATCAAAACAAACCTTCATGATATCCTCAAATTTCGTTGCATCTGTAAAATTTACAGATGTAAATTGGCTAAAATGGATCAAATTGCGCCAGCGAGGAAGTGCATTCATTCTGTATGATCAAATTAAGCATTTGATGAAGGGGTGAGTTATAACATACTGTGAGTCAGCTTGGCTAGCTAGTGAACGGTGTGATTGCAAGTAATCCTCTCTGATAACTTTGAGGATGTGCCTTCCCCCCAGTCCATGTGAATTGTTATGCATTCGATCAAATGAGAGTGCATGATGTGGGTCTGAATTCTCAATATCCCAGAAAGAATTCTATCCATCACATTAGTTGGAGGTAATAGAATCTGAAGGAAAGAGATAACTGACTTGTACACCTCGCAACCCTTTTTTCTTCAAGATTTCTTCAGCATCATCCTTTCTCCTACATTCATTTGCTTGATCAACTGTTGCTTTACTTTCCTCTGCTGTCCGAAGAGGATACTTTGTAGAAGCATCAGAAAGCTTGTCAAATGGCACAAGGCAAACAGGACAAGGGCATAAGCCCATCTTGCCCCGAATCAGAGCCATCACACACCTATGTGGTTGTAAAATGCTATCAATAAAGTATAAGTATTGAGGTACTCACTGTTCCTCATAGTCTGCTGAAAGAATCAAAATCAAGGCGAAAAGTCTGCGGATAATGTCGTCACCACACTTGAACCAGAATCCAAGTTTTGAATGGTCACGAATAGATTCAAGGAGTTTCCGGAAAGATTCATGCCAGACAACTGTTTTGAAATCAACATAGGCTTTTTTTCCTTTCTCAGTCTCATCTTCTAGGACCTAAAGAACTTGATATCAATTCCTGAATTAGCAATTGTTTTTGAGAAAGAAATCACAATTGGCTGCCACCCCACTACACGACCACCTCCAATACCTTCTCCATTTCGAATCCAGTCAGGTAGATTGGCACATCTCGCTATCACTGGATAAGCCTTTTCTGTACCAAATGATGATAGTTTTGCTTTATCTGCATAAAGGATGATGCAAAATGGTTTTCCATCTGGAGGAAGACGTGACTTTTGAGAAGTCAGATCATAATTCAATGACAACCAGAAAAAAACTTACTTGAATCTTCCACCACCTGTCTGCTGTCCATGGTTCATGGTAGAATCGGATAAAATGCTGCCCATCAAACTTATATAGCCGCTGTGCATCCCACTCAAAGTGTGGAGCAAGCTGGGGGTTGCCTGCCAGATCCAATGCCCAATCCCAGAGGTTTCGGTGATAGAATTTGAAGTGGTTGTCAGTTGTCCGATACTTTGCTGTGATAATATCCTCTTGAAACTATATAGAATATTTTTAGCCCATTGCAAAGTTGTTGTTAGTAAAAACCCACTGGAGTCATCATATGAGAAGCCTCTTTCCATATTTCTTTGATGTTTTGGTGGCTTTTCAGTGTAAATAGTGCATCAGGTGAACAGCAGTCTTGAAAAATTCAAAGCAATCCATTAACATCCTCCTCCTTCATCTGTGATTTGAGGATGATCTCTGCAAATTCAAAATCTTTTCTGGTTGTAAAAGGGTACCAGGGCTTTCCATATTTATGGAACGGAAGTGGTTCCTTGGGTGAAGAGAGGCCATACTCTTCAAAATGATTGATTTGGGTTGGTCGGCCACTGTGAGGATGGTATTCAGTCTTGATATCATCAATTTCATAGCTAGGCTCATCATCCTGGTCTTTTGAAAATGAACTACATTAGTGATACCAAGATATAATAGAGTATGACATACAAGGCTCTGGGTTGCCAACTGTGCTAAATAAAGGAGGACTATCTTCAATTTCTATAGGAGCAGGTTCACTGTCAATGCCTGTGACCATGACTGATCTAGATCCTGAGCTTTCGTCTGGCTGATTCAGAGCTTCAATATCTGAAGGAAATTATAAATCAATAAAATGATGAGGATCAGAGAAATAACATTCGGTACCCAATAGTTGATGACTTGTTTGCATGATTGTCTCTCTCCCACGCAAAATAAGCCCATCTAGCAAGAAATACCTTCATAATGATATTTTTTGTGATAGGATTATCTACTCACCCCGTTCACTCCTCTTCTCTTGCTTTCTCAACTTCTTTTCATAAGCCTTGTCACTCAAGTCATTCTCATGCTTTCGTCGGCAAGAAGTTTGGTGTGCTCCGATACTGCGTGTGTTAAAGGGCAAGTTACAATACTGGCAATTAACCTTTTCTTTTGGCTTCTGACACATCGATTTATGAGCCCTGAGGGCACGCTGGGAATTGAATGTAGACCTGCAAGTTGCACACTCGAGCATCTGAACAAGATGGTGGTGGTTCAGAACCAACAGTTTGTTATCTATTATTGCAATATCTGATGCAGTTGCAATCTGCATTGAAATTGGTAGCAATAACTACGGACCGATCTCAACCGGCTTGGCAGGAGTCAACACCATTGCAATGATCGTTTTGGGTTGAAACCCAGAAGAAACCGGCGTTCTGACATGATTGCAACGCCGGCCAGTTGTAACCGAGAAAAAAAAAGTCCAACATTAATGATACACTACCCCCATTTGATACACTTTTGACTGGCAAATATCTCGCTCAATACTAGGCCGATTTTTACAAAATAAGTTGTAACAAGTAGTACAAACTCATATCTACCACTGTATATAATTTGGATGCATTTGAGGCAGAATTGGCAAAGCTGTGGAGCATACAAAATGGACTGTTTTTCAGAAATAGCCAAATACAGTCAAACCCCTCAATGATACACCCATAATCTTAGTTTTTCTCTGTGAAGTGTGGGTCAAATATTCTGAAATTTGGTATGGTCATAGAAGGGCATTTATCTGACATTTTCATGTAGTTTTTGTAGAGAAATGTTGTGCTCAAATTTGTTGAAGTTAATTTCTCATTTTGGGTGTATCATTAGCAGGTGGATGACTGTACTTATCTTTATTGTTGGCCAGGCTAACGCTATTTTGATATAATTTATTATATTATTAAAATTTGATAAGAGGATTTGTGACAGCGATCTGATTGTTCGCTGCAATCCACTGTCAGCACCAAGTCAGCACAGCAATCAGCTGGTTTTTTGAATGAGCTCAGATGGTAGGGAAATTACCAGATTGTCATACAAAATTATCATGTAAATAAAAAATGTCAGTTTTGAGCAGGATGCCCGCAGTGAACGAAGGGGCGGGGCAGACGCGACGCGACGCATTGGGTCACGTGATTACATAAACAGTGCGCATGTCTATCTGTGACGGTAATGGGGACCCCATCAAACGAGAAAGGGAAGGAAGTCGAAGGTCCGAAGCAAAGGCAGACCATGTCCTTGTCGGCAACGGTACTAGTCATCACTGTCATTGTGAATCGATTCTAGAAGTTTTTCTTCACGTCAAAGTTATAAATGATCTCATTTGCTACCACTGTCGAAAAAAAAAACTACTTCCAAATATGTCGCGGATGCCAAATGCCATTAATCAGGATATATCTTGCGAAACAACTCTGACAGGGATTGGACAGGGATCAGACAGGGATTGCACTCGTCTTCAATGCATCACATTAGACTGGTGACCCGAACCCTCGATCACGTGCCTTGCATCCCAGCGGCTGCTTGGCGGCCCGGCGCTTTGGGACTGATCAACACGCTGGAAATCAGCTCTACCTCTCTTCGTGGCGATGTTCAAGGGACCTGCCCCCGATCTTCAAAGATCACATACCGCGTCCAGATATGCACACCCCTCTCTTTCCACTCTTCCCCCTGACGTCTTGATTCAAATCCAAACTTTTCTGGAAACAGACGACATCATCTCTCTTCGCAAGGTATCGATCATCCTATTTCCAGAATGTTTAACATTAACGGTTTCCTTATCATTTCTCTTTGAGACCTCTCAAGTCTTGTGCACCGTCACAAAATTGCGAATTGTGTGGATCAACGCCTTGCGCCAAGTGTGTTTGATGCACGGCATAAATCTGTCCACGTTCTACCCACTTGAAAATATTTCGCAAATCGAACTTGAACATGCCGCCTTCTCACCTTTTAGATTTATAAAGTACGCAACGGATAACATCCCCTCTGAAGGAGTAAAATACGCAACGGATAATATCCCCTTTGAAGGAGATATTAAATCCGTTGTGACTCGCATCCTTGAGCCTCGATTACCGCCCGTCATTCCGACGGATGAGGACGTACCCTTTGATTGTCACACTCTTTTGCTTATTCCGGGCGGTCGGTTCTTGTTTACCGATACGATTCAACACGGCGTCGCCCTTTGGGACCTCGGAATTCATGCAGCAATCCCAATGAAACTGTCCCCTCTAGCTGTGCTTCCGACAACAGAGGAATCTTTTGTCAGATTCACCAGCCCAACTCCGGACGGTCACGGCGTTTACGTTTGTGTTGAAGAACAGGTGTAAGCATCTCAGCAATTTTTATTTCTCTATGCTGCACATCCCACACACATCATAGGAACTTGTACACAGACACCCGCGTGTCAATCTACGAAATATACCCATCCTCTGCGGACGTGGCTTTCCGTCTTACCCATTCCTTGAAGGTCAAAGGAGCATTTGATAACGCATACATCTATAGAAACACACTGGCCTGCAGTCATGATAACCATCTCATCACGGTCTGGGATTTTATTCAAAACAAAGCAATCAGTTGGGAGTACAATGCAGTACTTCGACCGAATGGCGTCAGTGACTTTCCAGAAAACAATCACCCCATGTACTGACTATCTATGTTCTACAAGGTTATACTTTATACCGACACCCTCCTTCTCGTTGAATTCGGGAAATTGACTGTCTGGGACGTGCCTGGCTCACTGTATCTGCCGGTTTCGGACGACATGGGGCCTGCGTTTATCCGGCTCCTTCCTAGATCGGAAATTAATACTCCATTGCCAGCTGAATCCTTTCGCGTTTCTCCCCCTAGTCAGTGGCTTTCTGCAGGACAGTCGAGACTCCCTTTCTTTGGATTGTGCAGCCCGACGCCCGACATAGAAGGGGAGGAACTTGATGATGCAAGTGCTTCTATGCGATGCTACACGTTCAAACCTGTTTCAAGCCTTTCCGATAACCCAGAATTGCAGGCGTTTGATCCACAACCAGTGGGCGTCGTGAACTCTTTTCCCATATCGACGATGTCCGAGAACTTTCTACGACATATACGGTTTTGTGGCAAGTCGCTTACCGTAGCGTGGCATGCCGGTGACGAGGTAAATGTCAGCCTTATGGAGATGCCACAGGGTGATCCGGACAGCGTGGCCACCCTCTTTATTCGACGTCTCTTCAATAATGAGGAGGCGGTCGCACTAAGGGATTTCGACTTTTGTCCCGCAGCGGGTCGATTGGTTGTCACGACGGCAGCTGGCGATATTCAAATTATGGATTTTCTTACTCCCCCTACCCCCGTAAGCGTCTAATGGTTTCAACATTCATCCAAACTGACCGTGTTTGCACCTTGATAATAGATACAAGTGAACTTCAAAATTTCAGCCGAGGATCACTCGTGAATTAAGAGTGAGAATAGATGGAGGCCGTTCCTCTTGCAACAAATATAGCTTGCCATACCGGCAGACTTAGTAAATAGTCCCACTCAAAAAGAAAAGAGAACGGTTGAGAGATGCAAGAGAGAAATATATATGCAATGATTATAGGCTTTGGTAGAACGCGACGTTGAATCCAAGTTTATGATGCACGAATCCGAGCAAAGTTGAATTATGAGTAGAGGTGGCCGAAGGAACCAATCAGTACGATGTAAGTCTATAATAATAGATAGTAGCAGAATTAACTGCTCCTAATGTCGAGTTTTGAAAACGGCTCAATCAATGGGGATGTAAGCCATTCTTCTGGTCATTCCCTCAAAGATCAACAAAGCGCTTAACCTTGTTAAGCCACTTGACATATTCCTAACGTAAAGGCATCAGCACTGCGAGAGACGTGGTAGAATATGTTGCACAAACCTGTTGTTCCTTGTGTGCGGCATAGTCGGGAATGAAGGCGGCGACGTTTTCATTGATGCCACGCTCTTGCAGGTACTTGTCAAATTCATCCTGGACACCAACGTCAAGGGTCTCGAACTGAAAAGGTTTCATCTTCAACAAAGGTTGATGCGAAAAGTAGAGGAAAAAAGTACTGCAGGACCAATGTACAAACCACGGCGCTTCCAGTCAGCTTCGGCGGTGAGTTCTTGACTGAGCTTAGCATCTTCGTAGAACGAGATGTTCTCAATCAAAAAGTGTGAATCCTGGCAGACCATGTCGACACTCAACGCCCCAGGACCACTGGTCTAGGAACGGAAATCAGTGTAAGGAGGGCCGTGAGAGAAATATATGGACATAATACCTTGGTAATAGTAAGAGCGGCACGAACAGGATTGGAAGGATTGGGACTCTCATCAGCCTCGTCGCCAGCATCTTCATTTTCAGGCTCGAACTCGGTGTCAGCCTGAATGTCGGCAATGGAAAATATAATACGGATGCTGGGTTGTCAAACCGAGTAAGAAACTTTCGTGCAGCGGAGCAATGGACCCACTTTTCATCGCCAAACTTGCGTGTCAGCGCAACCTCGTCGTGACCGGGAATATCTTCGATCTGCGCAAGGTTCGCATCAGCATTTTGCTCAAGAAACTTCAGTTGGCACCCTGACTCACAGACCATACGCCCTGCTCCAAGAAGTTCCGCAGGAACTCGGGTGATGATGCTTCGTTGGTCCTGGCCTCCTTCTCATACTGCAGCTCCTCTTGCAGTTTTTGTGAGAGGGGGATGTCCGCTACACAGCACGTTAGAAGTAGCAGAAAAGGAAATCCAACGAAACATACACGCTCCACTACCCAGCCGTCTGGCAGAACCTGAGAACGCCCTCACCGGTGGTGTCACCGTCACTGCTGCCCGAGGAGCAGCCAATGCAGAGACCCGCATGCCAGATACGATGCGGGACCGCGAGGCAATGCGAGAAACTTGGCAGAGAGAACGGAGAGCAGACATGGTTACTCGCGGAAGAGAGGTTTGGTAAGACCTGGTGAAACGATGAATTTTTCAGTCGACGTCACGCGTGTTTGTTTGGCACCAAGATGCGTAGCAAATAAGCTTCCCCGAACTTTGAAGTTTGCTTGCAGTTGAACGTCAAACCCCATTTCATGAAAACGAAAAGCCGCAGCTCTCACTCATAGACGACTGATACAGTTTACATATAATGTCGTTTCTTCGAGACTCCGACTTGGACTATAGGGCGCGTTCGAACTCTATGTACTCACTGCTGGCACTAAGTAGGTGCACGAGGCATTTTCTTTCAGATTCCCTTCGCACTAGGCCCCATTCGAGTGTTCATTCTAAATATGTTCCTCCAATGTTCCTTAAGAAACATTGAAACAGTAACTTATCTCTATTTTGGAGATAAACGCTACATTTGGTTCTGATTTTATTGCACAGACAACCATATGTTTCACTCGTTTCAGCTCGTTTCAGCCAAGAGGCTGAGCCAACCAACCTCGATATTCCAAAGATGGAAAAACTCAGAAGGAAATTTAACCAGCGGTTCCTCTTGCGTCTCTTCTGGACGCTTTTTTATCGAAGGCAACAACTCGGAATAGTGGACAAGGGTGTTTCCTGCCGAGCCGGCCTCCTCGACAATCTCGGACGAGCTTTCATCAAATTGCAGAAATGCCCAAGCCTCAACCAGGCACTGCCCAAAATTCGATGTTCTATTAAAAATACTACCGTTTGGCGTGATCGAACTCCTATCAACGTTGTTCCTTCGCTTTACAAGATGTAGGCAGCCGTTTACAGGACTCATATGGTGCGTCGCCGCCGGAACAACTTTAAGCTACTATCAGCTTCATTTAGGTTCGTCAACTCCTCCCCTTGCGGTCTTTTGGCAGGAACAGAAGCGAGATGGATCATTATCCTGATAATCACTTTCATCTTCGCGCAGCAAATCCTGAAGTATTTCACGTTTCTCCTCAGGCATAGCTGCCATCTTCTGAGGTCCTATTGCATCGACAACATCCTGCTGAATGCCTAGGTGAGTACTTGTCTGGCCATTGATGGTGCATCTTAACGTACCAGCAGTTCTCGCGACAGTTTATTAAGGATATATGCTTCCCGCAAATCGTCGATGCACTCTATTGCAGCTTCTTTCGCAGTTGGTTCGTCCAGCTCACCCTCGTCGATCAATCTTTAAATTTCGGAGTCAGCTCAGGCAACGTCGAGTGGGGTAAGTTGTACGTGTTATAAAGCTGGCAGATTTCACCAGCGTCCCCGTCTGAAATGTATACAAACTCCTGATTTGCTTTGTTAATTTCGTCGTGGGGGAGATTGAAAAGGGTGGGGCAAGTTGGTGCGTTAGACATCTTGTTGCGCAAGTCATCGTTCACGCACACATTATAAGACGAATCCACTACAAACTCTTGTATCGGAAAGGGTAGTGGGTGTGCACAGAATAACAATGTTGCTACGCTATGGCTCAAGTACCAGTTTCGTCAACGTTCTGTGGGTCCGACATGATGTTGGATCACTCATCGAACGTTTCCATGCTGAGGCCGAAATAACAAAGAGACAGAAGTGCATTTCATAGGTCCAACAATGACGAAACAATAGGAAACAATCCGCTACAACAAGAACAGTGGCCTAACGTAGACCTGCCAGTGACCAGAACAATAATGGATTTGACGGGAGCTATGCATTTTGTGGGTCCTACAAATGTTCAACGTACTTACTTGTCCCAAAAAGCCAGTCCGTCATTCTGACGTTGTTATGATTACTTATTCGATGAAGATCTGCCCTGGAGAGCCGGAATTATGGCGTATGACATTTAGCTGCAGATATTGCAGTCGTTGTCTGAGCTCTCCATACATACTTTTGCAGATTGTGAAGGCTGCCATCCAAGCCCTCCTCTATAAAGTCTTTCACACAAAGCTGGTGATTACTTTTCCGGTGGAGAATTGTCGTGAAGAACCAGTAATATACTGCTTGACAGTCCTTCTGCGAACTTACTTATTGAGCTTTCAACAATAACTATCCTCCTATATATTTCTATTCAATGTCGACTATCATTCTTGTATTTTTTGGGCAGAATACATACTTTACGAAAGTAGATACGGCTATATATCATAACAAAGTTAATCTTCTGATGCCTTTGACGCAGCAAGAAATCGGTTTCTTACTAGGTTGTATGCCATTATTCGTGGTTACTGTATGCCATTATTCGTGGTTACGGAAAACATTTACTGAGTAATGAAAGATTGAGAGATGAACACAAAGAAATACAGAAACTAGTAGACAATGGGAAAACCTTAGGACCTTTTTTGATCAATAGAAATCTCAGAGCCAGAATTTCGCAACTTCGTACCGAGACGGGTGAGCTATACCGGTATGCAGAGGTACGTTCCCGCTGCGTTATTTGGTGAAGCAGCGAACTTACGTGGCCCAACGCAGGATGCCTCTGATGCAGCAAGAAATCGGTTTCTTACTAGGTCATATGAGCGTCAAGACATACAGATGGAAATGAATCTCGCAGTGACTTCAAACAATGAACAGTCTAGCGACGAACTGTCTAGTTCCGGTTTAAACGACACAGATGAGGGGTACAACCTCTCAATCACGGCATCCTTAGAACTTGCCTGACAAGCTGACTAGAAATGTAGTCGAATGATGGCACGATTCATTTTTTAGCGCCTGGCAGTAGTTCTCGAAACAAACGTAACAAGGACTCCGATAAAACGCCAAGATAGACAAAAAATATTCGTACTTGAGTCAAAAAAACAATTGCGGGTATGTCTGTATGGGGATACGAGTAATGGTAGACACACAGACGTGACAAGTCCTGATTATTTGCGGCCGTGATAAATAAATTTCCAACGGATACATAGCTGATTTTCAAACGGATGAATCAGCCCTTGGAGGGATTTCTAAAAAGACAATCAGCGATATAAATCCTGTTGTCTGCATGACCATGTAACAGATAGCACAACCGCCCCGATACAGGGCAGAAAGCAGTAATGTCATGAGTTTGTGGGATATTGATCTGAACAGACGCAGAGCGGGGAGAAGGTGTCAGATCGAGAGGCGTGTAAGGTCGATTGACGATGTTAGTTCTCCTAGTGGCATGAAACTGAAGGCCAGATTGAGACGTCCAAGCGGAGATGGCGTTCTCGTTACAGATTCCGAGGGATCCCTGGATAATTTCCGGTGTTGGGAGGTCAAAGAAATTAATGTCCAGATCATCATTGTCAGCAGAATTGATCTCCTCATTCACGGAAAGTGTGAGAGGTAATTCTACGCGGAAAAACGCAGATGTCCGGTGATATAGTGCGCCAGATGCATAGCCATCAATTATGCATCGCGTCTGCCCGATGCCTCTGGTCAGGTACCACTCATCCAAGCCACCGTAGTATTCGACTGGAACGTCGCCGGGCAGTGTGAACCAGATGTCAGCAGAGAGCACCCCGAGAGATGCCGGCGTGCTGCCGATCGAACGCAGTGGAGGGATTCTCCAGAGCCCCAGCCTCGGTTGATCGTCATTTTCAACAAAAATGACATAATTATCTGTTGCTGAAACCTGTTTGCGATGAGAATCAACCTGGAGATAAGACATTGGCTCACATAGCTGGGTTGCTTGCCGATTTCCCAGTTCGCCCATAAATTTTGGGAAAAATCCCAGACAGTCACGACATTTCCAAAGACGATAAAAAGACGATCTCCACATAGACAATAATGGTCTCGCCATGCATGAATGGCAATGTCGAGACTTGCGACTTTATGAAAGCTGGGGTTCGAAGATGTAGGATGGATTTCGAACACCGATACATTGTTCGCTCTAATAGCGAGTCTCATTAGACAACAAGACGAGAAGGAGCTGTTTGGCTCACGGATCTGATATAATGAAAACTTGTACTCCGAGAGCATCTGCCGTGGGTTTTAGAAAAAAATCGTGGCACTCCTCCGTTGCGATAGTCGCGACCAGAACGGGATCAGACAACAAGTATCGCTCAGAGGGATAACCCAAGTCCCAGATGGATAAAGTAGTAGATTTAGCATATACTAGAAAGCGTCCGCCTGGAAGAAGACCAATGGGGCATCTGTTCTCAGCACCATTTGAATTCCCAGGAGAAAAATGGACGCTTAAGCTTGGTTCGATACGCTCGCTAGGTTCTCTCGTCTTATAGATAAACGATAGAAATCTGGTAGGCATCAATGCAGCTTCGATGAGATCACTGATCGCCATGTCACTGACGGGGTAAGTCGGCCAAAAGATATAATTTTCTGCGCAAACCGTGCGAAGAACATCTATCCAGAGCGACCGCTGTGATGTTGCTTCCTGAAGCAACTTGCATGTCTAAAAGAAAGTGAGGTTCAAATTGGTATGTCCAAAAAATCGAACGCTAACCTGTCGAACTGCAAGGAGATCTAATGGCCCGAGAAAGCTCAAGAAGTGGACCAAGATGTCGAAAGGGACGCTCCCGAAATTACCAGAGTGTTGTGGTACCAGCGTCAAATGTGACCCATATTCTGCCATGTCCTTTCTTTCGTTTTCAAGCCTAGAAGGTCGTGATGTTCGCAACTTGAGCGCGTGGTTGAAGCACAGGTAAGGGTTGGGTTGAAAAACTGTTTGCTAAGGGGCTGTGCAACAAACATGGCAAACAAGGCAAACATCGCGATCATGTGCATGTGCTAGATCACAATCATCAACGTTCAACGTCAACGGTCACTAGCACTGTGAATGCTTGAACATCAACCACCAAAGGACAATGATAACAAGAAAGGAGCCCTCTTCGCGTTTCTTGATCTTGTGATATCAGCTCCATCACAGGATTGACTCACAGTGATTCATAAAAATGGAAGTAGGTCTCCACAGCTTTAAATTTGTGATTGTACTTACAGGAGTTTTACCGGTAGCCTCGTGCCAAGTCGCGAGAAATGCTGTATTGCGTCTTTATAAAATGCGAGCTGAGTATTTGGAGGTGCAACCTATCTCCCTCCTGATAACCTTGCTCTACTATCTCCATCCTCATCGTCATGAGACCCTCTTTCTGCCGTTTCTTCTCGTCCCTGGGGAGGCCTCCGACTGGACCTGCATACAGGCCAACGACCTCCAGCTACTGTACGTCTGCTTGCTATGTCGTACCCAACTTTTCACTAACGCCTCCTGTAGACTGTCCTACGACGTATAACAATTTCCAGTGGCCCAGTAACTGGATACCTTGGTTGAACCAATCTTCCGCTGTCTGGCCAAACCAAGCTCCCGCCGTCTGGCCAAACCAACCATCTGCTCCATGGCCAAACCAAACTCATGCACCTTTGGCAAATCCATGCCCTCATTTGACACCTGGCTGTTGTAACGGATTTCCCGTATCCGTTACTAATAACAATTACTATCCTGTCTGTCCTAACACTTCTGCCTGCGCAGCGCATGTCCCCCTTCCCACTGCCTGGCCTACAGCCCCAGGATATTGGGCCCCCGTCACAACCGGTCCCATCCCTGCTCCTGTGGCGCTTCCGGCCGTGGCGTGGAACGGCCAAGTACCTGCCTGGAATGCATGGCCTGCAGCCCCTGGCATCGCTCCTCCATCTGCGCCGACGCTCCATCCCTTGTTGTGCGGCACCCCGGTCGCTTACCCTCGTCTTTCCTGGTCAATCGGGGAATTTGTCTCCTCCGCTCAAATCTGCTCCAACCCCAACACGCAACGCTCGCTTACCAATGCAGAACTCATTGGACAGGTCGTACCCCCCTCCATTTCCGAAATTCGCATCCGCTTGACCCATCGCTCGATCAGTGATTGGCAGGAGTATTGGGGCCCCATCGTCGTTACGCGGTACTCGTCACAGGGAATCAAGTTAGAAGATGTGTTACAGGGGATATTCAATTTCTTTCAGACACCGTTGGTGCCTGTCGAGGTTGCCGGCATGCACCCTTCCCATCAAGGACTTGTGATGTTGGAAGCAGAGAGAAGGGCGAGAGAGTTACCGAATGGTGGGATTTCTAGTCAGGTAGAGCGGAATAAAGGTTTGCTGAGGATTGATCTGGTCAGAGCTGTCGCAGGTGGGTTAAAATTTGCGGGTATGCAGCCGATGGGGGGATCCAGGGACTTTTCGTTGAGTCTCACGAATTGAAGTCTAAGGCCGTCGACAAGTAGAGTGTATAAAGTATATGTACAACTAAATGTAGTAGTAGTATTATTTTAAATGTAGTAGGATTAATTTGCACCTGGTACCATGAACTTGAGCACTGATTCTGCTCGCAAACATCAATTCCATTCTCAACGCTCTCTCACTACGATATATTTTGCTCTGAGCGGACCGCGGCTACTAATCGCCACCGCATCTATTCAAGGTTATAGGCAGACTGCGGGAGTACCGATGTGATATCAGACGTAGATATACCCCGTACCCGAAGTCTTGGCAAGATAATGACCCACTCAACAATGGGCGGAGTTCTTCCTACCTCACATCGAATGGGATGTGGGGCTTGATGAGCTGATTGAGCTCCTTTCTGACTCTGGTGCAGCCTCTCCGTCGGATGAGCAACCGCAACTTACGCCGCTTCATGTGTTTCTGTGGACTCTTCATTCGTCTTCGGTGGTCAATTTCTCGATGTACAAGGAGTGTGCGATGGAGATGCTGCGGCTTATCCAGTTCCTGGATCCGTGGCAGATACCCGCGGACGTTGGTGCTTTGAATGTGGAAGGGCGAAAGGTGGCGGTAGGAAGGGGGGCGTGATGAAGGACATAGAACTTGAAGAGCTCTTGATTTTTTTCCAGGCATGAGGACCTGGAGGTGCGGTTGGAGTTTTTACTCCACTGAGAACGTTGCACTGAGCTCAGGGAGGGGCTAGCGCATGCGTATACTTTCAATGCCAGAAAAATTGTAGTGGGACTATATAGCACGATCCGAATACGTTGACTGTTGACAATGTGGGCCGCAACAAGAGGTGATAGTGTCGATCACTCACCGTTGAGCAGACGACAAGACGATGGACAACTCGAGGAACTCCAGATGTCAGTGTTATTCCTTTGGCATAGGATTTAGGAGAGACCGCCGAGGCAGAGGTACAGTTGATCCCAAGAAATTGGCAGGTATGTCTTCGGCTGAAACAGCCTTGTCCAGGCCGGCGTAACGAGTGTATCAGAATTCCCATTCTTGCACAGAATGGGTAGAAATTAATTGGCCCAAGAGTTGCCTTTGTTAAATAGGTTGACCCCATCGATACCAGGTATATCGGTTATAAAATATGCTTTGGGGCACATGTGCGACGGGGGGCCAGGTTTTAGCCAAACGATACGCTGGAGAGCGGCTTCCCGCCCGCAACGACCTGTACTGTTTAGAAGAAAATTCAGTATGAAACAAAAAAGTAACATATGGATGACCACCAACCTGATAAATTTTATTGGCTGAAGAAACGGCAAAATGTGGATTCAAACTTGAACTTCCAATGGCAGCTTCGTGAGCTTTGAACCCGATCCCGAACCATGCACTTGGGAGATATTTGGTAGAGTAGGCCAATACATTTGCTTCATAATTATAGACTGAACAGAGTGAGCTCTTCACGCATTACTTACATGGCTTCGGACGAAAGTTTGACGATCTGGAAAGGCGTTCAAACAACGTTCAAACGCAATCAAGTTGATGCGGAGTTACAAACTTTGAATTCCGACAGTTCCACAAAGCTGTGACGAAAAATAGTCTTCGTCTCACCCCTCCTCACTATCTTCCCCTCTACTCACTTTTAGCCGTCGTAGGATCTGCATCAACTCTCAACATGGACGTCGACATGAAGAACAAAGATGACGGCGAAGACAAAGGCATCATTGTGCCCACAAGCAGCAGCGGTAGGGAGAGGGACAGGGATCGTGATTATGACCGTGAAAAGGATAGGGACCGCGACCGTGACCATGACCGTGATAGAGATAGGCGGGACCGCGACAAGGACAGGGATCGTGACCGCGACAGGCGAGAGCCGGGTATGTGTAGCTTTTTCAATTATGACTCAGAAGGAAGGAGTGCGAAGGGGACAGCGACTTCCTGATGCTTACCTATATCATTCTCTTCAGGTCGCGCCCGTCCTCGAGTAGGCGACCATTGGGAACCAGACAGGCGCAATGGCGATGTGAGCATTTCTCTTTTCGCCGTTTACTTTTCATTGTCTCACACGAGTTTTACTTCGTCTCAGCGTCGAAAACGTTCCAGGACCCGTTCTCGTTCGCGTTCGAGGCGTCGTTCCGCTTCACCGCGTCGACGCCGTCGTTCTCGTTCCCGAACCCGTTCTCGGTCCCCACGGTCGCGCAGCCGCTCCAGGAGTCGCGACCGGAAGCCTGCCGATGCGTTTGCGCGCTCCCTAGGTGGCCCAATGAATGCCGATCACGAAGAAGCGGTCGAGTTTGCCAAGATCAGCAAGAGAGAAAACCGGGTTTACGTCGGCAACCTCAGCTACGAGGTCAAGTACCGAGACTTAATGGAATTCATGAGGGGAGGTGGGTGGGGGACTAGTTTTTATGCAATCTTTCCCAGAGGATGTTGTTTGGCAGTATGGCATGGGAGTTTTTGTTTTGTGGTGGTGGCATGATTCTTTTTGCGATCGTCTTCAAAGACTTGGCGGCCTCTTATTTTTTTTTTGGCATGGTGTTTCGGTGGTTTTGGGTTGCATTGTGATGTGGTCTCCTCCGATGACCTGGGGCATTGGCTTATGGCGAGGACGAGAATGCATCGAGCGCCGTTTTCTTAGTTTTCTGATGGAATGGTCGAGATGAGAGAGGATATTGATGGGAGCTTTTCTTTTGGGGTTGGCAGCTGGTGAGGTCCTCTTCGCCGAAGTACTCGTCACACCTACCGGAGTATCCAAAGGATGCGGGTGAGTTGTCTTTTTCTTCTTTTCTCTTTCTCCAAAAAACTTGTCTAAATTATCTACATAGCATCGTCGAGTTTGCCTCGCAAGAAGACGCCCAACGAGCAGTCCGTGAACTGTCGGAACAACCTCTTCTTGGTCGACCGGTTTTCATCAGAGAGGTCAGTCGACATTTTGACCTATTGTTCGTCCCTACTAAATTTATGCTATCCGTAGGATCGTGAAACAGAGGCCCGCTTTGGTGCCACCCCAGTTCCAGGTAAAATTGGGATGGCGATGGCTGGTCAAGGGCTGCATGCTGCACCCCCTCCAAGACCTCCTTCCCACAACTACTTTGGCACTCAAGCCAACCCAGGCAACCAACTTTATGTTGGCAATGTAAACTATGTTATTTCGAGAAATCTTCCTTCGACGCTAAAGAAAGTATTCTAGCTCCCCTACCAAGCAGGTTGGCAGGATTTGAAAGACCTTTTCCGAACCGCCGGGAACATCATTCGCGCTGATATCAACATCGGTGCAGACGGGCGTCCCAAAGGTTCAGGAACTGTCGTCTTTGAAACTCCCAAAGACGCCCAGCAGGCAATTAGTAAGTTTCAATAAAGTATTTTTTTGTGTCCGTTCTGACCCTCTTTTAGGCATGTACCACGGCTTCGACTGGTACGGCCGCACCCTCGAAGTCCGAGAGGTAAGCCTGGCATCTCCAGCCCAATAATTTACCGATAACATTATTCTCCAGGACCGTTATGCCGGTCTCTCCGGCTCAGGTGGCTTCCGTGGTGGTGCGCCCCGCGGACTGGGTCGCGGTCTGCGCGGAGGTTTCAGAGGTGGGTTTAGAGGCGGCTTCCGTGGAGGAGGATATGCTGGAGCTGGTGGTGGTTCCGGGCGGGACTTCTCCAACCAAGATATCTATGCCGACTATTCTGGCCCAGATCAAAGCGCTGCAGCCCCTGTTGCTGGTGCAGGGATGAGGATGGATGCGTACGGAGCGGGACAGGGTGGTGGTGGTTATGGTGGCCCTGCTGGATATGGTGGTGGTGGGGGATATGCAGATGCGGAGCCTAGTCAGCAAATCATGGTTCGCAATGTAAGTTGTTTTCATTTTTCGTGTTGGATGCAGGATGCTGATATTACGCTTTAGTTGCCCTGGTCGACGGCCAACGAAGATTTGGTGGAATTGTTCGAGACTACCGGCCAGGTCGAGTTGGCGGAGATTCTATTCGATGGAACCCGCTCGAAGGGCTGTGGTGTCGTTCAGTTTGCACAGGTTCCGGAAGCTGAGACGGCTATCGGTATGCAATATCTTCGTTTCTTATGGGCCTTCTCTAATTACTGTTGTCTTAGCCAAATTCCAGCACTATATGTATGGTGGTCGTCCTTTGGGTACGTCTCCCTGCTTTTCTTTGCTCTAGATCTCCTAATGAATACGCACTTCCTAGACGTGCGCTTCAATGATCGCTGGCACACATTCACCCCTTCCGCGGCGAAGGGTGGTCAGGTTGCACCCATGCAAGCTGATATGGTTTAGTTTATCGCGGTTTTGCTAGGCGTGCTTGAGGGTGCTTTAAGTGTATGATGATGGTGCTTTCTGGTATCTATATCTGGTGCCAATTAACTGGCTCTAGCTCTCCAAAATACTCTCTGCTCAGTAGCTTTATTCTTGTATTGTGGTAAAATGAAAGATCCTCACTGCTCTGTGCTCAATATTTCTTGAATATTTCGATGCTCAGTGCGTGGATGTCGGTGGCGTCCCTGTCATCGTTGCCCCCTGTCATCTCGCCCCTGACAATGCCAAGGGTTCCTCGAAAGACGACCCCAACTGGCTGAAGAAATGCCTCCATGTTCGACGTTCAACGTGCACCTTTCATGAACCCAGTCAGCGAGTAAACGCTGTACATATCATCGTTAACGGCTTCTTCTCGCCGTTTATGTATTTTCTGTGATTCTGCTCCATGCGTTTCTATGCATCGCCCGTTGCCGAGGTCGACGGCGAATTTGGTTGTATTATAAGCATCTAAAGTCAGGGCCGGCAACTGCAAGATCGTCCAAGCCTTTTCACTCTCTTTTCCATCAGTCTTTCAGCACATATATACTTCCACCACACCTGCATCTTAACCCCACCCCGTCATGGTCTTCACCAAATCCTCAGTGTTCTACGAGAAATCGCTCGTCTATCTATCCATAATATGTGTGCTGGCACTGCTGCTGGACCGATATGTCCGGTCGAGCAGGGGAAACAAGGTGAAGGAGAACGCGGATGATAGGCTTGAGAGTGGGAAGCAGGGCGCGAGCGCTGCTGTTATGTCGACGTTGACGAGGAAGTATTTGGTGGTTTATGCGATTGTTATGGGTGACGTGGCTTTTCGTTATACCTTTCGGTGTTTTCGTGTTATTGACGCCCAAGTGGAATTTTTTATAGGTGCGGATTGGCTACAAGGACCATATGTGTATTCTCTTTATAGGGAACAGTATCAGTTCCCTGAACGACTCGTTGCGGTGCTTTTTGTTACTGGGTTTATGTCGGCTGGTCTTGCTGCCCCTCTTGTGGGCGTGTGGGCTGATGAACAGTATGTATATTCCTATCTCTCAAGACACTGTTCTCACCATTTCCTAGCGGCCGCCGTCGCCTCTGCATGGTCTTCTGCATAACCTACACCCTCGCATGCGTATGCATCACCTTCCCCGTCCTCCCCATCCTCCTCGCGGGCCGTTTTCTCGGCGGAGTATCCACCTCCATCCTCTTCTCCGCATTCGAGTCATGGCTTATCTCCTCTGCCTCGTCCGCGTCTCTTCCCTCTGCAGACTTGTCCACCATCATGGGCCGCGCGACACTTATTAATGGGATCGTAGCTACCATTGCCGGGGTGGTGTCGAACCAGCTTGTAGCATCCACGAAAAACTACGCCGTCCCGTTTATTGCTAGCGGGGCGCTCCTCATTTTGGGATGGTGCGTTATTAGGGGGACGTGGACAGAGAATTACGGTGCTACCAGTGCAAAGAACGACGACATTTTCCAAGTTAAGAGGCTTGGTGTTGCATGGGATATTGTTCGACAAGGTCAGTATCCTCAATTCCTCGCTTAGTACTTATGACTAATAACAAACCATATAGATCCCCTTCTCTTGGTCCTCGGCCTAACACAAACATGCTTCGAAGGCTCAATGTACCTCTTCGTCTTCCTCTGGGTCCCCGCTCTCCAAGAATACGCAACCTCTTACCCCGCCCAGCCTCTTCCCCTAGGCTACATCTTCTCCTCCTTCATGATATCTATGATGCTCGGGTCCCTACTCTACACCGCCATCTCATCCTACCACGCTTCCCAAACTCGTCCAGGAGGAGACTCGAGCTTGACGCTGCATGCTAAATTGAGCAGCTTGGTGTGTGCGGTTAGCGCTGCGGCGCTGGCGTGCAGTATCTCGTCTAGGAGCGAGTATGTACGCTTTTTCGCGTTTTGTTTGTTTGAGGCGTGTGTAGGGATGTATTACCCTGTACAGGGCATGTTAAGGGGGACGCTTATCTCGAATGAACATCGGGCGACTGTACGTTTTCTTTCTTTCCCTCTTCACGCGCTTCATATCAATGACATTCATCTTTCTTTCTTATAGCTCTCATCCCTATTCCGCGTCCCACTAAACATATTCGTCGTCGTCTCCCTCTTAACGGGGGTATCGTCCGCCCGGTACGCGGTGCTGACTGCCAGCTCGATCATGCTCGTGTTCTCGTCACTCATGACGGGCGCGGTGATCGTCAGCCGGAGCGACGAGCAACAACAACAAGGGAACGGGGCTAGTGCGAATGGGAATGGGCACCGATGAAGATGGAATGAAATTTACATGCTATGCTGAGCGGACGACAAGGAAATAAAATGGGTCGTGAAGACCCCGTTGCTGATTTTTGCTTATTTACTTACGTATATCACTCACGTTCTTTGTGTGGAGGAAGGGGTGTAGGAGGGAGGGGATACACTATAACTTAGTAGTATGCTTCTATAGACTGACTTAATATATATACCCCGGGCGGAAGATACTGTGTGGGTACGTGAAAGACTGTCCCCAATGCTGCCCATGGTCGCTCCTCGCGGTCTGTGTTGATACATTGAGTGAAAAAGATGACTATGGTACATGGAGAGTAGTGTAAGTACAAATACAAGGGAAAGTAAAGAGTAGGAAACAGGTAAGATCGAATCGGTGTGAAGCAAAATATGAATAGATCGAGAATGCAATATTGCAAATAAGAAAGGGAGAGGGCGCAGGCTTCAGAGCTCATCCGTCTGCTTCTCCCTATCCGTCAACGGGACATACTAGTCCAATATCAGCTCCAACTAAAACCGAGATGAAGACAGAGAGGGAACGCACCCTAACACCCATCACCTTCTTCCTCGTCAACTTCCCATTCTCGTCTTTATCGATCTGTTCGATGAATTGCATAAAAGTCCCTACAGGGATGAACATCCGTCCTGGACTCGCAAGCTGGTCGATGAGAGATTGGGGGACGTTAGCTGCTGCCGCGCCGACGTGGATCGCGTCATAGGGGCCTACATCACCCAGGAGGTCAATCAGGACTCGGAACAAGGAGAAGGAACAGCAAGCCTACTAACCGGCACTCGCATACCCCTCCCTTCCATCCCCAGCCACCATCACAATTTCGCCTTTATCAATCGCACCTCCCAGTCCGTCGTTCTTCAGGTTTTGGACCGACCAATCCACCAATGCAGGGATGTGGTCGATGCCGACGACTTTACCACCTGGTGAGACGAGGTGGTGCAGCACGGCGGCGAGGTACCCCGAGCCACTGCCTACGTCTAGAACGCGGGATCCTGGGTTGAGGTACGGAAGGAGGTGCTCTGATGCGCATGCGTGCTATAAGACAGTGAGAGGTTATTTGAAGATGAAGGAAGAGGCGGACGGACCATGTGGGGAGCACTGATCGTCGCCCCGTGCCCGATTGGTCTGGGGTATGGTTTTTATCCCTCTCATAGCCTGCAAACACAAAAAACGCAACTGTGGTGAATCATCGTATGCATCTGATTTATCGACGACGTAGTTGGCGCGATCAACGGCTGACATTGCCTTTTGCATGATTTAGTTAGCGTTTGTGTGTTGGAATGTAGAAACGCACGGCTGCTACTCTGTCTGAGTGGAATATGCCGTGGTTGGCGAGGTTGGAGATGAGCTCTGCGTTGCTGAAGCCGCTGCATCGCCAGGCCATTTCGAGTTGGTGTTGTGATAAAGTTCAAGTTGGAGGTAGAGGGCAAATTTGCTTCCGTTATCCCATCAAAGTAACGCTCAACATCTCAGCTTTTTTGAAAGCAGTTGACAAACGACAGAAGGCCTGCGCCTGCCTCGAAACGATTGCGTATCGATCAGCCGTGTCCCTTATTTAAATTGTGCGCCAGTCGCCGTTGTTTTACGTTCAGTGCTTCTCATCCAAGTCCATGTTCTCTAAAGCAAATTCCGTATGGTCAACTCTAGCCCTGGGGGCTCGAAAAGCATTCACAGAAGAGGGTCAGTGTCAGGATTGGTCTATCATGAGCTGCGCGTTCATTATTTTGTTCCCAGTCAATCCTTTCTTCACGTTCACCTCTGGACGCTGGCTATGCAACCACAAAGCTCAGGTCAATTCCCGAAACACCCCTTTCAACGTGGATGGCCTACAACGCGTGGCATCAAGGATGATGGGCTCGCAAGTACGTTGGCGATCTTTCCAATAGCATATACCATATAGCCAATTTATACCTTTGCGACCGACAGGTCCAATCAATGGAGAAAGTAGCTGAATCGTTCAATCGGGTTTTCCTCCTCAAGTTCCAAAATGGCGAGCAAGCCATTGCTCGGATTCCCACCCCGCTCAGCGGTCCAGCTCACTTTTCCACTGCCAGCGAAGTCGCTACCATGGACTTTCTGGGACGCTTAGGGATCCCGGTGCCGAAAGTCCTTGCCTGGAGCTCGCGAGCCCAGTCAACAGAGGTGGAGTCGGAATTCATCATCATGGAAAAGGCGGACGGTCTGCCTCTCATCAAGATATGGGATACTGTCGACAAAATGGACCTGGTCACCAAACTAGCTCAGCTGCACCGTCCATTACTGGACCTGCAATTCACTCACTACGGAAGCCTTTATTATAAGAGCGATGTCGACGTCTCCCATGCATCAACAACCGACTTCCTTGAGACCATCCCTGCGGGGCTCGACATTAGCCCTTTCTGCATGGGTCCCATTGCTCGACGGGATTTTTGGGAGAACGAACGTATTTCCATGGAAGTAAACCGTGGTCCATGTGTGTGTACTTGTTCTTCATCCTGCTCTGACATCCTGACAACATGGAACGTAGGGGCCTCTGCTCTTGAATATATGGTCGATGTTGTCATACGAGAGCAGACCTGGATCGATCGCTATGCAACACCCCATGTCCACGACGATTTTCTCTGTGGTCTGCCTCTCCAGGGAAAGCAGGACGATCATATTGAACTTTTGGAATATTACAAATACATGCTTCCCGACCTCGTACCCGAAGACCGTCGCTATCTTTGTGGTCACCTATGGCACCCAGACCTGCACGCCGCAAATTTGTTCGTCGTCCCGTCAGGCCCCGCGACCGCGGACGAGAAGATACAGGCGAATATCACATCATGCATTGACTGGCAAGGAGCATGGGTTGGTCCGGCCTTTCTGCAGCTCACCGTCCCCGTAATGTTCCGCGCGCTGAGGCCAGGGCCGGAAGCTCTCAACCTCCCATCCCATTTTGAGACTCTTGACGCTGATACCCGCAAAGAAGCAGAGCGTTTCCACAATGAAGCTGTATCAAACAAATTATTCGAAACCCTTGCACTGCAGGACATCACTCAACTACCAGCTTTGGCTGAGCGTCGCGGATTGGAAGATTTAGCTCAGGGGACTTGGAGAACGGGACTGCTACCTTTCAGGTAAGTCTCCTTTCTGTGAGACTATCGCTGCTGACAGTTGTATTTCTAGAGAGATCCTCATCAAGGTCATGAAACGGTGGAGTGACATTGCCGGTCCCGGAAAGAAATGCCCACTTGATTTCACGCCCGCGCAGTGTGAGGAACACGCAGAAGCATATGCCTACTGGGCGAAGCATCGAGCGCGTGCAGCTGCCTTGGATGAAGAGTTCTCACTTGACGAATTCGGCTACGTGGCTGGGGATGAAGCCCACTTCCTTAGCGTTCAGGCGCAGCTGGAAAAGCGGCGAAAAGAATGGGTAGCAAGTGGCAACACTGAGGAAGAGCGGATGATCAAGGCGGTTCTATGGCCTTACCGAGACACGCTCTCGGATAATCCCCGTAGTCATCTGATGGTTGATACTAAAACCCTGCGTTGATAGAGAAGGATCTTGGGAGGCTCCTAGGCTCCTAAAAGCAGCATCTCGCGAGCTTTCTTACATCAGTTGAGCGAAATTTCGTGGATCGTGTCGTAGGGGCCTATGTAGGCACCAGCCTCCTCTGCAGCACCGCAGACCTTCTCATCTTCCTTCCCAATTTGACCTGTCTGGTCAAAGTCAAAGATTGGGTAGACTTCGGATACCGTGTATGCGCAGCCGCGATGACTTTTGAACAGTGATGACTGGAAAAGGTGGACGTTGGAGAGAGCCAGGTCTATGTCGATCGCCATGTTTGCGAAACTCCTGATGCCACCGTAACGGTATACGCTGCTCAAGCCCGTTCGACGTATTCCCTTCCCTTCCGGGCAGTGAATGCGAAGACCCCCAACGTTTGTTTCCGGGCTTGGCTCAACAGCCTTTCGAAGACCTTTGAACCCTCGAGAGACCGTAAGACTACGGCGACTTTTTGTGTTTCGTGGAGAGATCGAGCGGGCACAACGGAGGACGATCAATCGGGATTACAAAGGATGGTTGGTCGAACACATGTGAAGGGGCAGTTGATTGAACCTGGGAGGCCGTTCCGGGAGATGTCGTCTATCGAGGGGGTTTAAGAGTGCGTGGACATTCCCTAGTCTTGCTGCCGGGAGTGGAGTTTCTTGCGTGGTCTGTCGAAGAGACTTGGTGACTCAGTTGGATTGGGCTAGGCACACAATTTGCCTTCGTTTGAACATCCGTTTTCATGCCTGCAAACTTTTGGAGGTGCTGCGGTAGCTCAGCGGGTCATGTTCAAATGCCGATATACTCTCTGTGTCGAGCCCATACATTGAAAATATATGGTGCAGCTTGGGGCAGAATCTTGAGTGAGCTCATATTGTTTTCTATTCTAAACCGGCGGTAGCTAACGATCGTTTACGCAGCTGGCTATATTCAAATCCCACTCGCACACCTCTCCCGCCAATGGAAACTAACCTTCCTCTGCAATCACTTTGTACCCCGACCATTCTAACGGTGGTAACACACCTCCTACCTCCCAATCCCAACCTCCTCTCCACTACCTATTCTCGGCTTAATCCACTCTTCAGTAATTGCGTCCAAATAATACCGAGCCACAAGTGCTGGTAATACATAACTCAGGTCACAACGCGGCGGCTCCCCGACCAGCGGCGCACACAGTCCCTCTTCCAACATCCAATGAGGAAACGTGGATTCTGAACTCTTGCAACGCCCATTGATGATGTTTCTTGTCTTCTTCAAGTCTTCATCTACCCTACGTATGTTAGCGTCGCCATCAATGTAATGGTAATCATGAATTGCCCACAGCACGCATAGCTAAGACGTCCTGGACCACCTGGCGAATTCGAGCAGCACCGTTGGCATCAAGGAGGTCGTGGATCCATCATTCAGCGGGAGCCACGTCGTTAAGGTTTTCTGAATCGGGCACAATCGCAGGCAGAGTGAGCCGACAGGCATTCATAAAAGGCCAGGCGAGTACCGAATGCACTGGAGCCAGGAAGCCTGGGCGTTGCGATGCTATTGCCAAGAGCGCGGAAGCGGTCGCGCACCTGATCATCTGCCTCCTTGCGTTTGGAGTTCAAGGTAAAGAATCCTGGTGATAACTTCGATAAAGAGCACGGGATGTTTGTTCAGTTCAGCAACAACATCGATCGAGTCTTGGGCCATATAATTATGAGGAGACATTTCGAAAGGACCTTCGATGCCGAAAAGATGGTAGAGGAGTCGAGTGTCTGGGCCATAGTAGACACTTCCATTCGTGAGGTTGATTGGCAGATACAATAGAGTTGGTAAGCCACTGGGACCAGAGAGCTGCCATCGTCTTTGTGTTCGAGGGTGTGGTGGTATCAAGGTGGTATATGATTTAAATCACTTGCTGTTGTCAGTGTCATGCGACCTATCTAAGAATACTTGACCATCATTGAACGGTCTATGCAGAAAGAATGATAGTTCATCTAAGGGGTGGAGTCAGTAAGAGCACAAGAGGGATCTTTGGATAATAAATAGTATACACACATATCAAGACATCTCCGAAAATGGGACCGACATGGGGGAAAGAAAATCGATGACACGGATCACATTTTCAGGCGTAGCGACCACAAGCCGCCCAGACGCAGGACAAAAATCAAAGTCCCAAAGTGGACCAGAAAATAATGTTTTTGTCACCACGGATTTTGTTTCTTCATGCGGAGTAGGAAAGGGTATAAGACTGATTAACACGTCATTGTCAGGTCGCCACCGCTGGCAAAGTTCCCCGTTGCAGAAACGCAGGCCGAAAAGGAATTCGCTCTCATCAACCATCCTTGACGGAATGGACGACAAAATCCCCATCTCGGTGATTTGACCGCCCGATGCAAGCGAGCTCGGGTCGAGCCTGTGTAAAGTCATTTCAGATACATCGTTCTTGAAATCCGGAGCTACAGAACCAAGAATTATGTCACTGTAAGATTTTGGCCACCATTGAGATGGCACTGTGAATAGTTTGGGTCTCCTTGAGTCCGGTGGGAATGAGTAGCCAAGGTTGATTGTGGGCGGGGGGTGGTTTGCGAGTTCATTATCAGCGACGTCGCTTCTAGCAACGTTTTTTAGGAAAGGTATCTCCCATACGATGATGTCGGTCCGGTTGAGAATGATTAAATGGTTTTCGAGCAAGAACAACTGAAATAAAAAGAGAAACGAAGAGGCGTTCAGCGAAATGAATTTACACTTCTAGCAGTAGTTACGCACTTCTTCTATCTTGAAGGGGGCATTCCAGGTAAAAGACTTGTTAGATTCAATATCCCAGAACGTAAGCATTCGGTTCTGATCCAGCGAGACGAAATGATATCCCGTTAGAGAGTGAATCATATTCATGCCATTCAGTTTCAAGTCTCCCTTGCGACAGAACTGGGGTTGCGCTGCCGATGGATGGATTTCATACACACTGATGTGTGTCGAGAGCCTACTCTCGTCAGAATAGCTATGGAAAGATGTAGGCAACAGTGCTCACCCGTCATCGACAAAATATGTCGTTACAAGGATTCCGAGGCCGTCTGAAGTTGGGCTCGTGTCAATTAGGCCGATATTCTTGACGATAGTAGTCGCCATTGGAACCTTTGGCATTTCACAATAAGGGTTCGCCCCAAGGTCCCATAAGGACACTCCGACACCAGTAGCGGTATTGGAGCCCGTCAGTAGATATCGACCTCCGGGGATAAGTGATATTTGATTGTAATTCTCTAGAAACGAAGCCCGAAAGACCCGGTCTTGCCAAGGGGCAATTTCTGTTTTATTCAAGCCCTTCTTCATCCGAGCCGAAACGCGAGCAGGGGACAAAGCACCGTATTCAAGTTCTTTGGTGGACATGTTTTCCGTAGGGAAACTGGGCTCGAAGAGTGCGTGGTCCACGCAAACGTGATGGAAGGCAGCTAACCAGACTATCCGTTGTTGTGTAGACAGATACAGTGATTTGGAGGTCTAGAGTGTTGCGCTCAGATTCCTGGTTAGGGTATTCGAGATTCGAGAAAGTTCACCATCCTGAGCGAGATGATATCGCGCGGGTCAAGATAGCTCTGAATCAGAATATGCAATTCCAAAGGCAGAAGATGCATGTTCGCTCTACGTTGCAGGCCAGTGGCCATGGGCGCAGAGAGCAAGCAGAGAGATGATCAATTATTATACAGAAACTCATGTTTATGCACACCGCCACTTGCACCGCCTTACTCCGAAAAGTCAGGATCAATCGGAGAATCGACTCTCCAATAGCTCTCCAAAACGAATAATTTTTATCTACGTGCCTACGAAGAACGCTTTGACAGAAAAAAGGAAGCGATGACTGCCTTAATCGAGCGTTTTCGTTTCGCAGGACCTCCGGAGAGCATTGAACCCCGCAACTTGTCTCGAACATTCCCCCTACTGGCCGAATGTGCAATGCTCCAGTACGACTTGATCACGAAAGGACGACCTGTCTGTTCCAACGTAACGGCTCGGCTGGGAAATACGGTTACATTCCCTTCAAGCCGGTCGAAAAACTGTGATGTGAACTCGTCAATCTCTCGCGTAGAGAACATAGAGATTTTACTCCAATACGAGGCACTAAAGATTTTGTTCTCCTTCCGTGAGTCGCCATAACACAATGATTGTTCTCGCGCAGCGATGATGAAAGCCGCGAGAAATAGCCGGTGTCCCGAAAGCCCAGACGGCTTAGTGAGTTTAGGCATCTGTGCCTGGAGTCGCTTCAGGAGGATGAGAGCAGCAGAGGCGACAGAGATTGGGAGGCCAGCACTATATACCACTTCCGCAATAAAGTTCTGAAGCCTAGGTTCGATCTTAAGAGTGCCAGGTGATTCGAGTTTCAGAGGACAGCCAAACACATCTACAAGATAGTCCGAGAACGAAGCTACCACATCGTCGAGACCAAAAAATGTGTCGTACTGCCCTATAGAAGATCTTCTAGGGGTCCGCTCAAGATGAAGATGTGCGTACAAAGAAGAGTGTGGAGAATGACTGTCAAGCAGAGCAGGTGAATGCGTAAGGGGAGATGGCGTTATACTAGTAGTGAACGGAGAGCTCCCCATACTGGAAACGCTGTAAGAAGTGGTGGAAATTGCTGTCATGATGAAAGCCGCCAGATTGGTAGAGCGGCCAGAGTGTCGTATTTGCGAGCGGTGAGTGTGGGACAAGAAAACAGTGATGCGATACTTGAAAGCGGCCAAAGGACCTCCTATGAATAAAATAGGGTGGCGCGATGTCAAGATGCTCCGAGGCGTCATTGTGCCTCCTTTTCGGACTTGACAAGTGCGATACCGATGGTGAGGAATCCGGACAGGGGGATTTTCCATCGCGGAAAGACCGTTGAACGTTGAGGCCTTGAGGATGGAAGATGAAGATGAGCTAAAGATGAGAAAAAAGTGATTTATAATTATGGACGAGGTACTTCTAAACCTTCTACGTACAAACTCGAAATCATCAAAAATCCACGGTCATCGAATAGCAGCTTCACAGGGGGTATTATCAACGCACTCTCAATCTGAAAAGACGAGAAGAAAAGCGGGCAACCTTCAGCTTCAACCTCGACGGCCTCAGCGAATCACGTCCCCTAGATGTCTCCCCAACCTCCTCCATCTCTTCACTCTCCTCATCCTCGCTATTCTGCCTCCAAACAGCCAACATCTTCCTCGCCGGAAGTTTATTCGCACTCTCCATAATCTCCGCAAACATCCACACTTTCCCATGAAGTTCAGCATATAGCTGATTCTTCATCTCTACAACCTCCTGCGCCGTAAACCCAGAAAACGAGCACCAAAACTTGAGGTTATTCAGAACGTGAGGGTTATGTGTCTGCTCCACAGCAGCGAATATAAACGCGGACAGGAAGAGTCCGTGTCCATTCCACCCGGGACTCGATGAAGAAGCGGCGGCAGTTTGGGATACCCGACTCAGCGCGTCTTGGTGACGCTGAAGAAGGATGTATGCAGCGGCGACTACGCCAGCCACGTCAAACAGATGGTCCGTCGTTCGGTTGACGATTTCCGGGATGTATGATGAGAGTCGTTCTTGCGTAGTTGGAGCATGGCTATCCGGGAGCTCAGAATGACCCAGTTGGTTGATGAGGTAGTGCGTTACATCGTCTACGTGGCTTTGGGCACCTGCGCAGCGGCAGAGTCGAACAGGATAAAGCTTTTCGTCTGGATAGGAAGATTCTACGAGGACCTTTTCTGAGAGGAAGGAAGACACGGTCCAGGCGGATAGCACAGATTCCCGGGGGTTTTCTTGTTGAAAGCCGAACATCCTGGACGTTCAGAAGACTTTTAGTTTAATGGAAAGGAAAGAATACTTGCGAGTCGACAGCAATTTATTGAATCCTCCTTGGAGCATGATCGGTAAAGGAGTCCGGGAAGAGGGGTTGTTGTAGCAGAGGAGAAGAACGTAGATGCTCCGTTTTTCCATGCTAATCGGATTGGTACTGTACACTGGTTTGACGTAAGGCGCCAAGCAGCTGTATCAGCAGTTATTCCAGAGGAGCATTCCCGCAGCCTGCCTGGCCATCCTCTCCAAGTCACTGCTGGTTCAAAAGCGCGTGAGTAAGAGCAAACGCATCTTATTGAATCAATATTCTTACGTATGTTTTGGTCTTGAAGAGGGAAATATCAAGCCAGTAAGGAAACTTCAACGGAAGGTTCATCTCGCAACTGTTTTTTTATGTTTTAAGAAACAAATGCGGTCACGTGAGAGAAATCAGCCCCAGGGGCCAGAGCATATCTCCCAATCGACTTTCTCCAAAACATTCGCCCACCCCAACAAGTTAAGTATCGCGCATCTCGCATGTATTTATTCTGCGCGGTCCCGATATATATATACATTCCATATTTAAGTTTCTTTTCGTCTATGAATAAAAAAAGCCCCCATCTCAATCGTGTGTCTAAACAACCCCCGCTGACCAGTCATGCTGCCCGGGACCGTATTCAACGACCTCGACCTCGAAACAGATGCCCAATCCACCCCCCGAGCATCCTCACCCACCCAAAGGCCTGGCGTCAAATACTCACCACCACCTTCTCCTCCTTCCCCTTATCATCATCATCATCAACAACCTTCGACGTCTCCGAGTTCCCATCCCCTTCATTCCTCACCAAATCAAGCATATGATCCACAATCTCCTGAGGCGTCGTCACATGCCAACTCGCAAGCGTCCGCTTACTGCTGTGCCCGACAGCAGTGGTGAACACAGCCTCGGATTTGATGGACAGTTGAACGGGGGGTGCACCGTTGCCGTCGATGAGGGTCACGGAGAGGGGGGCTTCCATTGTTACTTGCGTTGTTCCCGGTGGGAAGAGGAGGAGCGCGCGGAACATGTCTTCGTCGGTCTGTAAAAGGAAGGGAGATGTCAGTGAAAGTAATGCAGAGATAAAAAACAAAGAAAAGACAAACCTTGTCGTCACCAGCACAGAAGATGAACTCGGCGTCAGGGTTCTGGTACAATATCCGCTTGACGATCTCGCCCTTTACGTCGCATGATCAATATCACGCTCGAGAGGAAGATAAATATCTGATCACACACCTTGTTAACAGCCGTTGGCCTAACTTCCAGGTTCTTCTTCCCAACAAGAACTGAGAAAGAGATCATAAGAACCACGTTACACAATAAAAGCAAAAGACAAACCTTCAATAGGCCTCTTATGCGCCAAATTATTCTCCAACAAATCCTGGCACTGACGACACTGGAATTGTCTAAACAAGCCATCAACACCAGCCAACAACCCAAAAGCGAAAAAAAGGAACTCACCCCCACTCAGGATCACTCCCCCGATAATGCCACGTAATCGAGCTCTTCTTCACCTCAATATGACTCCCCGTCGTCCTCTACAAAATAACAACATCAACATCCCCACCCAAAAAACAAAAAACAAAAAACAAAAAAAACCCACCTCAGTATAATACTTAAATATCTCCTCAACCTCCGCCATCCAACTCATATCCAAACTCTTCGTAAAATTAACCCACTCCTTGGACCCACGTTCCCTCACAAACCCACCATGCTCAGCCGAAAACCCAACATTCCTCAAATGCCCAAGATGCTGTTCCAAAAAGGCGCCATCCCGCCCAGAGATGATGTACACGATATTCTTCGGGTCCGCAGAGAGCTTTTCGAGCGCTTCGAGCGTCGCTTCCGTCGGAACGGCCATGGATGGCGTTTTCACGATGGGTGCCAGGGTTCCCTGTGGTTTATAGTTTGGGTTGAGTAAGGGAGGGACGGGGCAAGGAGAGAACGCACATCATAGTCGAACAAGAACAACCGTTTCCCAGCTTGGTGATACAACCACTCCAAGTTCTTCCGGGGGATATAAGGCGTCTGCCTCGCCATACCCTGCAACCCCATCTGCTCAAGCAACATCTTCACAAGAACCGCAGCCCACGTATGGGACGTGTGCGTCGTGACGGTTTTGTAGAGCTTCTCGTGCCGAGTGGCTTTTTCCTCGGCGGACATCAGGAGACCTCGGTTGATCGCAGCAGCAACGTCCTAAGGAGGTGAGTATGACGCAAGTGAAACGAATATATAGGAAGTACCCACCCCCAAATTCCAAGGGTTAACCAACAGAGCCTCCTCCATATTCTTACTAATCCCCATAAACTCGGAAAGCACACTCGGGTTCTTGCCCGTCTTTTCTTGCGCGATGACAAACTCCATGCTGGTGGTGTTCATCCCGTCTCGGAGGGGCGTGATGACGGCTAGATCGGCGACGCTCAAGAGGGCGTAGAATTCGTCTTTCTTTAGGGTTTGGTGGCTGGTGGGTGACGTTAGTTGGGTTTTGTGGTAATTGAGAGGAAAAAAAAAGGGGGGGAAGGGGAATACGGGGAGGCAAAGGCAAAAGCTAAAAAGAGAACAAAAAAACTCACTAGTGATGCACAGGAATAAAATCCAAACTCCCATACTCCCCATTAATATGCGCAACAATCTCACTCACCATCCTCTCCAGCTTTGGTGAATCCGTCAGCGCAGGACTAGTCACTTGGATCATAACGACGTTGCCGATCCATTCAGGAAAGTCTTGTAACAGTTTCTCGAACGCTCTTAGCTGTGGGGTTGATAAGGGTAAGTGGTGTGAATAAGAAAGAAAGAAAGCAGGAAGGGAGGCGGAAGAAGTGCACCTTTTGAATAACACCCTTAACAACATCCAACTTATCCCTCCCCACAATAATCTTCTTCCCTTCATACAAATTCCTAAGCGCCTCAAGTTTAGGTTGAATCCCCGGCCTCAATCTACCACACACACACACATACACATCAGTCTCCTCATAGCAAATGAGGGGAAAGGAAGACTCACATATCCTTAGCAACCCTCTCAGCGTCCACACCAACGGGACAGTGGCTAACAGCCGTAACGTGTCCTTCTACGTCAATCCCGCGGGGGGAGGCTTCGTAGCCGCATACCCGGATACATGTTGAGATGAAGTGTCGGGAGTAGGAGTATGTCTAGAAGTGGGGAGGAAGGGAATTAGTGTGATCGGAAAAAGAAGTGTAAGATAAGATAAGGTGGTGATGATGGGGGAATAAAAAGAAGTCCGAAGGGGACGGAGGGAGGTAAGGAACCCCGGTTTATCAAAGAAGAATACCAGATACGTGCACAAAAAGGGGAGAAGGCGGGTAAAAAAAGAACTAATCCACATACCTGGAAACAAACGAGATTAGCACCAAGCATGCCATCTAAAATCTCCTTGCGGCCTATATGCAATCGAGTTAGGGTTATCGAGCACCAGAAGGGATTTAACAGAAATGTACGTGGTAAACACCTGAAAACTTCGCTGCTCGGGAAGGGTGTGTGTACGAACAGGCCGAGGACGACTTCCGGGATTGATTCTCGGACTAGCCTGGTGAAGGTTGACGATGAGTTACGAGTTACGAGCGGATAAGATGGAAGCTCACCTAGGCAACAAAAGAAGATGATAATCATGCACCCAAACAATATCGCCAGGCTGATACACCTCCGCAATACGGCGTGCAAAAGCCGCGTTTGCAGATTCGTAGTACGGGTAATGAGAGTCTGCGGAAGCGTATTCCGTAGCGACGTCTTGCCAGAGTAGGTAGTGGAACAGCGGCCACAGGGCTATTTACCAGAACCCAAATCAGTAACAGTAATAAAAAAAGAGAGAGGAAGAGAAAGGAACGAATTCTCACTCTGCTTGCAATACCCATCATAATGCCCATGCGCAACCTTATCATCCAACCACACCGGAACGTACTTTGCCCTCTTCTCACCACGATCATCCTCAGGATCAATCTTATACGCATCCAAAGCATCCTGGAAAGCAGCTTTATCCGCTTGGGAAATAGCATCTGCAGGCACCTTGTCCGCACCCGCCGTGATCGTACCGCTGGCACTGGCACTGGCACTGGCGCTGCTGCTTGGAGGGGGAGCGAGAACGTCCCCGGTCCACCCTATGACAATCTGTTCATGTGAAGGAGAGAGGGAGCGGATGCCGGAGATCATAGCTGCGTGACCATATCGCGCGGCCAATGACCATGGCGAGCTAGCTGCTTGTTCTACTGGTTCGCTGGCTGCGTCCAGGGGTTTAGTAGGGGGAGTTGGGGGTGGGCTGAGTATACTGCTCGTAGGACGGGAGTTGAGTGTCGCGATGATGGGTAGGTAATGGCAGACATGGATGATCCTCCCCGACAAGGGTATGCCATTGTTCTTGTGCTGTTGTTCTAGTGTATGAATGTTGGCTCGGACCTGGTCAAGAGAGATGTCGTCGCCTTGGCGGGTGTATGGTTCTGAAAAAGAGTCCATGGTGTACAGAGAAAGAGTGGAGAGTGTAGAAATATCTTATTTATATATGAGATGGCCAAATCTATCGCGATGTCCAAATCATCGTCATGGTTTGCTCAATTGGGATGGACGCTGTCCACCCTGCACCGACGTACTCCCGTTCCGGTCCGACAATCACCTCAGAACGTCCAGAAACGCAAAAGAACGACCAGAAATCATACCTACTTTCCATATCCTCTCTTCGCCGCCATCAGCGACTTGCATCACCCCCTTATTTCAAATTAATGCACAAAACAGTTCAATCCTTGACATTTTTAACCCCCTGCCTCTCCCTCTGGAATATTGGGCGCACCACAGCCGAACATGGAGCGGCTCGCCGTGGACACTTCCAGGCTCGTAAGATAACAAAATCTACGGTCCTCGCTGCTTTTCGGTCCTTTCACGTGGGCGAGGAAGCCCCGTTGCAATGATCTACACAGGCAGGACTTAAACATCTTATGATTGGAATTCTTCTAATTGGCGAGAAACGTGCACGACGGAGAAACCTTTCGCTTGGGACGCCACCGTGGATGCAGTCAAATAACCCCCAGATGTGGTTCTGGCCTTTCATGGAAACGGATTCGGCGACCCGTATTGATGTTCTGGAGTGCTATCGTTTTTCAAACTCAAGTTCGGTCTTGGAGCAATGACTTCACAACAGTTGCTTCCAACGGAATTTTAGTCGATGACGAAATGCGGTGGTTATAAATAACATCATACCACTGCACAACTGGTCCGCGACCACACAAGCAACAACTAATACCACTTCATGGAATTCAACGTCGGAGCGGGACAAAACAAAGAGACAACATATCATACCCCTAGTCATCCGTCGAGTACTCCGAAAATTTAGCCAGCTCAAGAGACCGTTGGCTCCAAGTTGGCTCCGGGGCCCGTAGCAAGAGCGAATCCTGATGGACGAGCATCGCTTCACCAGAGTGTCCGAAGACCAGGATTGAGTAACTCACCGCATACATTAGTAAACGACAAGGGGTAGCACTCGATTCGAGAGCGCGTTCGTTGACGGTGACGAGAGCTCAAGGATACAAGAATCGCATGCACGACAAACAACGTTGAGCCGAACTCTAGGGGAAGTTGCTTGTCCGTGATACCATGTAGTCGTCGCCATAGGACCAATCATCAAACGTCTTTCTTCTTCAACATCAACGGCCATGTTGCAACCGAGTGGTAGCCTTTGTTTAGTCTCTTGCTTCCTCCATTACTGGCATCTTGCCCAATCAATCCAGACGGTCTTTCAACCGACAAACAACAGTTAATCTCTGGTTGAGAAGCAGAAGGTATGCCCGCAGCCGGGGAGGGAAGGGCGTACGCAGGCTATGAGCTCAAAGTCAGCATCCCGGCTTTGAAGGGTTGAATAACTCAACTTGCCCGTACATTTCTGACGGGAAACCTCGTTCCACGCTGTCAGCACACCCAGACGACGTCCTCCCATCTTTTGAATCCGTCTCAGATGGGCAACGAAGTTGTCGGAGTTGCGAAGAAGATGGAGCACTTGAATGTGTAACATCATTGGATGCTCCAGGGTGAAGCTGATTCGAGAAGAGGCATGTGAAGTTGAAGGAAAGCGAAAGCGTACATGTTGGCTTTCTTCAAGTTGGTTCACGAAATGCAGTACCTCCAACCTGCTGCTGAAAACTTAGCGCCCAGCATCTGAGTCGCTTGAGATGCTCATCACACATTACCTGTGTCTTGATATTGTTGCTTGCATTGCGTCCCGTTACTGCACCCCAGGTGGGCTGTCCATGAGAGAGACACGAGATCATTGAAGTATCGTACGTGTATATCTTTACATAAATTCATTTTGCAAAATTTTCGGGGGTCCTGGTGGTATCCGACGAGCTGGTATGGTGCAAAGTCGTCGGAGCAGAAGTCCGGGCGAACATCTCAACACCAAGTTCTCCGTTCTCCTCTTCTGTTATCGTGGAACTTGAAGGAGGCATCCTAGGCTGTAACGGTATTGAATGCGAATATCTGCGCTCAGGCGGGCTACTAGTAGTACTCCTTTTGTCTTGCACTGACCACTGACCAGCTTCGTTATACTCGAGTATAAGCATTCCACCTTCGCGAAGCTCTCTTCCGGGCTGCCATGGGTCTGAAACACGCTGCAGGGCTGCTGTGGTGTCCAACCAGAAGACGGCCATTGTCGGGTCCTCAACCCAGGGGTGATCACAACGACTTTGAATGTATGCGAAAAGCAATCCAAGCGCCAACACCCAAAGATGCAGCGCTACCCAAAGGTACACTCTCCAGTGAGTGATTTCGGCACGCAACGTCGGCAAGGCAATCTGAACAGTCGTAGCATTGGCACTGGCTGTATAATAGTCCGCCAAAGCTGCCCATGCAGCCTGATACGCTCGTGAAGCCAACTCGATGCCCAAGTTCCTGTTTGTCCCAAAGTTCAAGGGAATAGCATAGTTAGACAAGAAAAAATTGGCTGCAAGGAGTGGTGCAATTCCCAGTGCCTCCGCAGACTGAAAATTTCCGATGATTGGATAGGGAGCCTGTGCTTCCACGACATTCGCAGAGATAATTTTACAGTTTTGACTGCTGATCACTCCAGCCCGATACGACACATTTGCAATTGCGAAACAGTCTCTGCCGTCCGGATAGTCCGAGCCTGAGATGAAGTTGATCACCAAGCCTGGGTCGATCGTATAGTTCTGTGGGCATAGCGGTGCAGCCGTGGTAGGGTAAGACCAAGGAATCCAAATCCGAAAGGTGAACAGTCGTGTTTCTGATATGGGCATGTGTGGATCTCTGATCATTGGGCCATTTCCCCACTGCCCGTCGGGTAACAGCCCACCGGTCCCGTTTGCTCTAATAAGAAAAGGACTATATCCAGATGCATTCTGATACAGTAAGGATAGTTGTCCGTCCGTCAAGACCTGGTGGGGGTCTCGCACCCACTCGAAAGCGTCCACGGCAAAGTAAGGCATCGTAACATTAGCCAGAATAGAATGGGTAGAGAGGTATTGCGCTCCATTGATAACACGCCGAAAGGTTGTGGAGGGTTCTGTGATATTCAAGATGGAGTCTGGCTGAGATGTTCCCCATGCGATGCTTGCGGAAGCGGAAGCCATCATCATGATCTCAGACTCATAATTGATCAGGTCGTTGCCAATAAATACTGAATCGCTTATGCTCTGTTTTTTCAGGACGGTTCCGTCTGTAATTCCGTTCAGTAGTATCTTCCCGGGTACTTGGGTGACTGCAGTCTCCCAAATGAATGAGCCAGTTAATGCTGCGGAGAAGTAATCGATAGCAAAAGTGGCGAAAAGGGCGACGTATATGATGACCATGTTGCTTTTTCGAGTAAAGTGGCGAGGTGCAGGGGGACAATTTGAAATCGCCTGCGATAGACCTTTTGTCGAAATGCCTCCTTGCTCCATGGCCACAAAAGCGCTACGCCAAATGTAGCCTGTCGCCCACCATCCACCCGCAACACGTGTTATTGTAGCTGCCAACGAGACAGCAGTTGTGATGTCGGATTGGAGGGGAGCGTAAAACGACGCATACGCAACAGAGCCATCAACTTCTCGATATTGAGGTCGACGGGAGTTGACATTGAAAGTACGATGGTCAAGATAGCTCAAACAGATTGAGGCTACAAGAACCGTCAATGCGAAGTGCACAACGAAAGGCCTGTACTTGTAAAAATTGACGCTGTATGAGAGCGGTTAATGTGATATTGCAGTTAAAACTTTTAGGATTATACCGCCAGGTTGATGTTTTTGAAGGTGGAGGGTCACCACGCATTTCAATGTCCGTCTCGACGGGGAGATAATTGGTGCTGACATGGGACATGCTGTGTTCATCACCCATTCTGAATTTCTAGGCCTGTGTTTTGGGGCTGCCTTCCCTTTAAATAGCTCTAATTCATGATTAGCGCTGACATAGCCCTTAAACTGGGCCTTGATTATAGGGAAGAAGGATGTTCCTGGATGTTCTCCGTCGAAAGCAACCGACGTGCCTTATGATAAGATTCAAACAGTTGTGGACAAGCAATGGCATCAAATTGGGTAGCGCGGCGGCTCGATAAATCGCCACGACATAGTATTAGCCAGGTTGTTGAGATACGTCGAAAAAGAAACTTCTAAAGTTTCTCCCACGAGAAATTGCGTCCGCCGAACTTTTGAGTGAGGCAGGCGAGGTGGATGGAGGGTTCGAAGTCATGGTTTCAGGCGGTGCCAGACTACAGTAGTTGGTACTCAATGGAAGGGGGGAGAAGGGTTGGGCGAGGGGTACGTACATCTAGTTATTCAAGATGATTTCAAATCCTTCAACTCATCCAGTATGTCTTCCTCGTATTGCGCTTTTTGGACGTCGATGAAGATGTGCCCTGATCGGACGAGACGAACGCGAACCTAATTCCATGTCGTTTGTCAGGGTTGTATTCGATGGAAGAAGAGGTGTTGTAAACGTACCGTTGCATGTTTCGGTCGTAGCTCACTTCTCGTTGGGTTTGGTAGGCCTGCACAATGCGATGCGTTGATCCCAGCGATACCTTTTGAGGACGTGCTCTGTTCCAGCATATCAGTCAACATCATATACGCCGATGAGATAGACAGACATACTGAAAGTATCGAATCGATGTCCGTTTTCTCTTGTTGTATTCTTCAACGACTTTCTCAATGTCCGCAAAGTCCTTGGGGAGAGACGGCCGCAGATCAATACGGCTGGCTTCGTCTTTAAGGTATAACGGCCAGTCGTCATCAAAAGAGCCATCAGGGCATATGTCTGTAGCAATTTTAGGTGTTGTTGCGAAGGTCAGTAACTAGCACCCACTGATAACCTGACTTCGAAGAACTAAACTCCAAATTGACGAGCTCGGAAAGACGAGATTTCTTTGCTTGGGGGTACATGAGTGGCTATTTGACGTCGTCACGTAAGGCCCACAAGCGATGGCGGAAGGTGAGACTTGGAGGGGCACCCCCGTTTCCGCATTGCTTCAAAGATGATGGATGATCAGCGTTCGCCGTCGCTCCAATGGACCAAACCCATTTCACTTCCCGAACGACAAATCCGCCCACTCAAACTCCGAGATATCCTCTGGACATCTGGGAATCTCATGCACCCTCTCGTAGGCCGCCCGCCAGATTGAGCTGGAGCTAGGGCTGCGCAGGTTGTCCTAAAAACTGTGGCTGGTGGGGCTGATGTGGTCACAGAGGTCTATCGTGTGTAGGTGTTCGAATATCTGAATGGAGGATGACGTGGGTTTGGTTTAAAGAGAGGTAGAGAGAGTGAGAAAGGCGAACCTCGTGCAAGATATCCAAGGCCATTGTACATACCACACGCAAATGCATTGGGATACCCTGGTTTGTGGAAGAGATCGTCTCCACTTTCCGTTGTTCCACATCCATGTTGCCAGATAATCGACCACTGAAACGAAGCGTAAGAGAACTGGTCCTGTGCAGGTTCAAGCTTACCATCGTTTCTGTCCCTACGCTCATCCAACTCCTCCGGTATAACCTTGCTTCCAGGTTGGAAGGTAGCCTTCCTTGGGCAAGTTGCGCGAACAGAGCCTCCTGGAGAAAGTCACCCCTGAAACTTTGTTATCCTAAGTGGCCTGCCGCAACAATAGTATTCGAGCAGCAGACGAGTGCGTAGCAAGACCACGAAGTTCAAGCTCAAGAAAAAGGTTGTGCTATATCTAGTGACTGTGACCAGTGCTATTTCCCGATTTCAAACACGTTTATTCAAGGTTACAAGAGCAGTAGGCGACTTTCTACTATGTACAAGTTAATACACTACGCTCAGATACCAAGGCGGGCTAGGAGCGAGCAGAACACGATGCAATGATCCAGAGCAGACATTCAGCAAAACGAAACCAGGAGGAAAGAGAGAAAGAAATTCAAAAGAGAAAACTTAAAAAGTCAGAAAAGCAATGATCAAAAACCGAGACCCATCCCAATACACCTCATTTCAAATTCTTGTCGGGTTCGAAAGCTTGAACCGCCGCCGCTCAACGACGAAGCCCAAAAGCCCTCAACAACCCCCCAACAACAGGGATCTCCCACTTCCCATCGCGGCTCTCCAGCTCCTCAACCGGAACCAGAACCTTGGTAGGCGCAGGCATCTTTTTGCGCCTCCTAGTCGCAACCGGCTCTTCCATCTGTGGAGACGTCTTGGACCGCTTCGACTTCCTAACCATTGACTCGTCGATCTCTGGGTCTGCGTCGGACTCGACGATGATGATGGGGGCTTCTTTGCGCTTCTTTGAGGTCGAGCTCGAGGTGGAGGGGACTGGTTTGGAGGTGGAAGGGACCGGCCTGGAGGTGGAGGGGACTGGCTTCATGCTCGAAGGAACTGGCTTCATGCTCGAAGGGATAGGCTTCATGCTCAAGGGAGTCAACTTCAAGCTCGAGTAAGTTTCCTTCGAGGTCTGCGAAAGTGGCTTGGAGGTCGAAGGGACTGGCTTCGACATCGAGGGGATTGGCTTGGAGGTCGTGGGGACTGGCTTCATGCTCGAGGAAGACAGCTTCAAGCTCGAGGAAGTTTCCTTCAAGCGCGAGGGGACCGCCTTCGAAGCAGGCTCAACAATCCGCTTCTTCGAAGAGGTAGACTCAACAGCAGTCTCAGGAGCGCGACGACGTTTCTTCTGCTTCTTCTCCTTGGTATCCTACAACCCCATTATCGCGTCAGCATCATATCAATACCCACTAACGAGTGAGGGGACTTACAGGCTCAACAGCATCACCATCTTCAACAGACCGCTTCTTCTTCTGCTTCTTGGTCGTAGTATCGACCGCATCAGTATCTTCAATGGGACGTTTCTTCTGCTTCTTTGTTGTGGCGTCCTAAAGTCGCATAGCGTGAGTATCGGCTCAATAACCTAAGCAAAGGAAAACTTACGGGTACGACCGCCTCTAAATTCTCAAAGGACGACTCAGGCTCAGGGAGACGCCAAGTCCCTTTCTTCGGTGCGCTAGTAACACTTCCTTGTTTGCTCGAAACGCTTCCCTGCCTGCTAGATCCACTCCCTTGCGCACTAGGCGCACTCTGCACACGAGTCCTAGGTGGGAGAGGCTTAATCTCCCTCTCGCTCGAAACAGTCTTAGAAGCCTTAACTCCCGAACTCTTCGAGTTCCTCCCCAATTCCTGGCTGGGCAAACTAATGCTCGAAGTACTGGTGCTCAATACCCACGGCTTGCTCTTGGGCTCGTCCGCCCAGATCTTCTGCATCTTCTCCCTCCATGCACGCCGTTGTTCAGGGGTGTAGATAGGAGAGGATGGCTCAGCTGGAGCAGGAGCGGGTGGTGGGGAGGCTTCTTTGAGAGGGGGTTGGGTGGCGGCTTGGGCTTGGAGAAGCGCTGGCTGGTGACATTCCTGAGGAAGAGCTGTATTAATGAATCCAGCCTCGTTCCACGCAGGTTGAGCTGGGGCAGATGTCGCTCCGGGGTAAATGAACTGCTGAGGATGCTAAAATGAAGGAACGTTGGTCAAGGCTATACATCAATCGACGGTGAAGGCTAACCTGAGGTTGATTGTACGCGTTCGCATACCCGTTGTTCAACTCCTCTGAATAAGGAGGAGGCGCTTGATTTTGTGCATAAGCCTGGGCTTGGGCTTGGTGGGCCATAGCCGCTTGCGCCTGCGCCTCCAACAGATACCGCTGCTGCTGTTCGTACGCGGCTTGTTGCTGTTGCTCGAACGCAGCTTGTTGTTGTTGCTCGAACGCAGCCCGTTGCTGCTGCTCGAATGCTGCTTGTTGCTGCGCCTGCGCCTGAGCCGCGTAACTCTGAGAAGGCCCGTCCTCGTCCATGTCCTCCATGTCGGCTTCGTAACCCACGCTTGGGTTTGGCTGATAGTACACCTGCTCGGACTGTTGCTGGTATTGGTTGGGCTGTTCGACAGGGGCGACAAAGGAATGGTTGTTGTAGGTTTGTTCAACAGGGGGTTGGTGAACGAAAGACTGGCCGACGAAGGACTGTTCAACGGGCACATTCTGAACGACAGAGGCCTGCTCGACAAACGACTGCTGGGAAGGACCTTGGTCGGCGGACGTGAGCTGATGCTGATGCTCCACCTGTGGCACGTCGACTTGGTCGTGTGCGTGATTCGGGAGCGCGACTTCTTCAACAGGTGGCGGCACGACTCGAGGAAGAGGAAGGATACGCGGGTAAGGCTCCAGAGCGGGAGGGGGAGGCGGAGGGAAGATTAACTTGGCCACAAATCTGAGCGGCCGCGAGAATATCTTCTTGATTCCGTTCATACGGTTCGCCCACCTGGTGTCGCGAAGTCGTAGTCTTTCCTCCATCTCCGCCCTACTCATACGATATCTGGCCCTACGGTGGCCCTCACAATCCGTGGGGAGGTTGCTATTGTCGAGGGTCGGGTTTTCGGCGCGCCTGAAGCGAGATAAACTCAACACGCAACATGAAGGAGAACAACTTACTGCTCGTCAGTCTTGCCGTCCATGATAACTTGTGCAGGGGGAGGGGGGACGACACTGGGATCAACCCCCGGCGGAAGGGGAAGGAAACCTCTGTTGACGATGAACGCCCTTCGTCGCTTCGCGACGGTTCGAACGTTCATAAAACGTTTCTCCATCTTGTTGGAGTTGTTCTTCTGCCTGCGCTTGGGTTTGGGTTTCTCAAGAATAATAGCCATTGGCGGATAACAGAGTTCGGTAATAGATTGATTGGATTGGGTTGCAAAAAATCGCGTATATGAGAGCGATCGACAGGTGTAGGTTGTGGTTGAGTTGGGGAAAAGTGGGTGGTCCCTTGTCGGTTCTTATAGGGCGCAGTATGTGGCCATTTGCGTTGACATATGTGGCCTGGAAGGCAACAAGGAGGGCCACAATTTCGCGTAGATCGTCACGCCGATTCCAGCTTTGACTTCACCACGAGGTGCGAGAGTCCCAGTATGTCCCAGAATTGGATTTACTCGCATTGACCTTGGCCATTGTTCGCCTAATCCGTCGTTGCTTCGGCAATTTGAGTGGCCTATTCAGAGAAATGGCTGGGTGGTCTCGTTTATGAATAAGATGACAGGCAGGGCACTCGGTGGTTGATTTAAAAGAGAAATTGTGAGAACAGTGCTGGTCAAGTGTAGGGCCTTGTAAGTAAGTAGTGCGCGCCAGCGACTTGAACAGACTTGAACGCAAAAACATCACGCCAAATAAGAGCACAGCTTCCGAGCAGTAGATCTGGTAGATTACCGGACAGGGGTTACCAACCGTTACCAAGGCTACCTAATTGTTAGTAACCGGTATACCATAAACCAATTCCAGCCAATTCCCCAATTTCTCTCTCCATCCTTAGTAAAATAGTAAAGTAAGGACTACGATGGAGATGAGTATCAAAGTGGGGGGAGCCCTTGCAGCTCAATCGAGCCCAAAATCCCATTCGATTGGAGGAACCCTGCCAGTTCCCAATTCAAAAATCGTCACCACCCGACCTCCGAAAAAAAAACAAGGATATTGCAGGGCACAAAATCCCCATGCATGAACACCAGGTTATTTCCAAGATGTATTATCGCGGCCATACGTGGGTGATCGTGAATCTTTCCTCAGAAATCCCTGATGCGGGATGGAAATGCGGAGAGAAGTTCTCCGAAAGGAACGGAGTGAGGATAGGGATGCGATTTCTTTCTCGAGGAGGTTTGAGAGGGTGTGGATGTACGTAGCGTACGACAAGGTCTGTCGAAGATGCCCAATCCACGTATCCGGAAAGGAGGCGTGATCGTTCCCCAAACAAGAATCCTCTGCTCGCATAGGCCTGAAGGACCTTCAGTTGAGTTCGCAGAGGGCTAATAAACGAGTGACGGGGATAGCATCATGACAGCGATACCCTCTATCTCCTTTGCGACGCGGAGTTTCTGCTCTTCAAGTTTGGAATATACTGTAAGTCGGCCTTGGGAGAGATCCCACGGAGCAAAATGAACCTCAACTTCGCTTCGTCTTTAATCGCTCTCAACGTCGACCACTTGCATTGAGGACAAGGCCTTCGTGGCGCAAGGTCTAGGGGAGGAAGTAAAATGGGGTTATTGTAGCCTACTTTTGTGTTGCGTTAACAGCGAAAAAGTAATCGGGTGGCGGGTCAAATGGGCCGTACGTGTTTAACTTTGAGCTTCAGAGGTAAGGTGATATGAACTCGGTTCCTGCGCTGATAAAACAGACTTCTGCTGTTGGTCATCATAAGGGGCCATGAGGCAACCGAAATATCTGTCAAGCTCTGTCAGTACGGTTGGTCATTTTCCCCCGGAATATATTTCCATACCTTATATCATTTGCGGTAAGCAGATCGCACAATCTGACGTTTTGGCCTTGGACTGTTGTCGTTGCCAGTTGGTCGAGAACTTGGAACGAGCGATCATGTGATCGGTAAATTTGTCGGAGTTTTCTAATTCGGCATCTCAACCGGTTCTAACTTGTTGTGGACGTTCCTATCAAAATTGCCGTCATAATTAAGAGCAACCAAAGAGTTTTTGGTTACAATTTTGGTCCCATCCAGGGTGGCAACCTGGTTGCAACAGGTGGCAACGGGAGTTCCGGCGTGATTGTAGCCAATTTTGGGCTAAAAAATGGAAAAATAAAGAACTTTCAACGGTTAGCACTGGTTAGAATGCCGATTCAATGCCGTCCCAATTTCGGCTGGTTGTGACAAAAGAAATAAATCTCCGACATTCCTCCTCTACATCATCATGGTCATTTAAGAGTACAGTTTCTGCGATGACATGGCAGCTTAGAACCCCGTTGGGGTTTCCTCGTTCCACATTGTGCACAGTCGAGACGATCATAATAAGTTCCCCTTGATTATCTCCCGCTCATCTCCTCCTTCAAGTTCAATACATTGGTACGCGTTAACACACTCACCCAAATCGTTCATCGCCTGAATGAATCTATTCTCTCTCTACAGTTTCTCTCATTTGTTTCCCACTTCTCCAGGACAAGTAGACCGAGAGCCCTTGCTGCATACTTGTGAGTTTGACTTAACGAAAAGAAAGATGCTTCTGACCTTTCCTCTATAGACGGTAACCCTGACGTCTTTGGACGTTGTCACCGCAAGAATGGTGATACCATCTTCAACAGCTATGAGCGGGATGGTAAGCGAAGGATTGTAGTAGTGGTCGTTTTTTTCTGACATTGTATTCATGTAGGCGAACTCTCAGAATTCGATGCATTAGCAATCACGGAGCTCAACGAGGCCTACATTCCTCCCCAGCAGACGAGCATCGCCCCACTCTACTTGCCGCCAGGACAGACCATCCCCAACCGGATGGTTGTCACTTCGCCCAACGCCAATTGGATGCCATTTATCTCTTTGCGCCCCCGAGCCGTCCGTGCCCGAGAAGATGGACGTTTTGCTTGGGCAGACTTTACAGTGTGCCCTCAGTGGTTCATCGAAAGCCAGTGGCATCTTCCATTTGTCAGATCGCGTCCGCCAGAGGCCACAATCAAGCACCTCGAGCTCGGTTTTTGTTGGTGGCAGTTGGGAGAGAATCATTTTGTGCCATGTGGAAGCAAAAGGCTCGGCTTACCGCAACCTCGGTACCTTGCGTGGAGACATTGCAGATTTTCTGCGAGGGAAGGCCAAGAAACTTCACGTTGCCTGCCGAGACGTCAAGCAGCTGAAGGATTTCGGCCGTCTGTTTTATCTAGCAAACAAGACCGCTGACGCAGCCTTCCAACTCAAGTATTGCTCCTTCACCAGGCGCGACCTGATCTACCACATCAGCGGCTTCCAACGCCTTTACCTGGAGACCCTCGTTATGTATGACTGACACACAAAGTGGGCTTTCCGTCTCAACGACGGCACCGGAAAAATCTACGAAATTGACAAGACCATCATGGGGGCAATCGCTGACAGCCCGGATTGTATTGTAATGCTCTACAGAGTTGGTGTGCCGGGTTGGTATGTGCGACCGCCATCAAATGTCCCAAAGGACATGACGATCCGTCATATTGTTGCGCCGGGTTGCGAAGAAATGCCAACAGTACGGGGACGTCCTGCCAACGAGTACGATCGACGCGCATTCACGTACAAAGACTTCCCTGGCATGCCTTTCCCGACTGTTGTCACTGCATGCCCTCGAAGTAGCGATTATGTCGCTGCCTGCCAAAACTGACGTGAAGGACATTTTGGTCCCCTTGATCCTCAAGTTGTCGTGGAGGCTTCTGGTGGTTTAGCCATGGTCAATTCATCTCCCTCCCCTGGTAGGTTTTCACATCCTTGGTACTTTGAACACGCACCGATTCATGACACAATAGCCCTGTCTGCCCCCCACACGGTACCTGTCTCCCCCACGGTGAATAAATCTGCGCAAGGCATGTATGCTTCCCCTTGTCCAACTCTAGTGTTACTAATTGAATTTGATCATAACAGCCTTGCTAAATTTCATGAGCCAGACCTCGACCATGTGCCACCTCAATCCCCAGCCTGGAAGACTGCATTAGAAGCTGTGGATATGGATTCGCGGCGCGTTTTCTCAACGCCCGCCGCGAACAAGTATCGCGGTTATCAATTCCCAGATCCTTTCCTATTTATCAACGGCTCCAACCACCGAAGCATGATGTTGGCCTGGCTGATGATGCGTGCTCAGTGGCTTCAGTCCCTCATTAACACTGATTCTGCCCCTCAACTTCCTGTCCCCCAACTTCCTGTCCCCCAACACTGGCGCAACTTCCTCCATGATTTCGCCAAGGAAATGGGGTTGTTGCCTACGATACCGTCAACAAGCATAGGAAGTCATGGCGGCGTGCAGGAGAAAAAGGGCAAAGACCAGACACACCAAGGATCTGAAGAACTGCCGTTCTCGCAAGGCCAAGGAGGTTCAAACTTCCATATTCTCTGGTGTGGTGTCTCTGGGAAAGCGTCCTGACGTGGTTTACTGGTAGTAATGCAAGGGGATAAAGACGACGGCCTCGCCCCCAACATCATGTCGCAAGTGATTTGGAATACCTTCGAACAAAACTTTCGATATGAAATCCGCCAACTCGACCGACATCTCTTGCCCGCTGCTTGGGCCTCGGATTCTGAAGCCGGCCTGCGCGAAGATCTAATCCGTCGCATTTTTCCAGATGACAGCAACGGCCTCGTTGTCTCTGCAGGTCCACCTTCTATCATTGGCCTTGCGGCGGAGAATTGGAAGGACCGCTTGAAACATGTGGAGGCATTACGGCAGTTAGTAAAGGGATGACCGGGAGCCGCCTCAAGGCAATTGAAAGCACGATATATTTCTGAAGGCATCTCTGAGGCAAAGTTTAAAGAATCAGAGGGAATGGTGGTCAAGGCGTACTGCCAGACTTTTTTCGACACCTTCGGCCGTGCGCCTTGCACCCCGCATCAGATTTCCCGAGTTTCTGATCACGAAAAACATTCATTATCGAACTGTCAAATTGATCGACAATAGACAGCAGAGAGAGAGGGAACAACTTTGCGACAAGAATGTGATCGACGTGATCAAGGGTAAGCTCAAGCATGTATTTTTACATTAGATCAGTTTACTTTACATTTTATAAGAATTGTCATTACTCTAATTCGTGAGGTTCAACGTAAAATCCCCCGTGGCCCATCCCCCGACCGGCTGCATACCCGCAAACTTCGCCCCACTAATGGCAGCCACGTCAATCCTCAAAAACCCCGCATCCCTTGACACCCCACCATTTGGTAACTCCCTCGCCCTTCTCGCCGCTTCCCATCCGACGCGATCATGATTGACATGGTGCAGCCTGCTACTCTCGACGAATGATAACGGCATCTGGAAATAATTGAATATTCCCCGCAGCACGTCTTTGTTCCGTATTCCCTGTGATGTCGAAGACTGCCGGATGATGATGGGTCCCCAGTACCGTTCCCATCGCCCGAGCGAGCTTACGTGGATGCGAATTACGGAAATGGAGGGGGGTACGGCCAGTGCGTTCAGTTCGGCGTTGATGAGTGGGCGTTCGTCGTTGGCTTGAGTGCATATTCGAGCGGCGGAGGGGTAGCGTTCGATTGACCAGGAGAGGTGAGGGTAGGCGACCGGGGTGGTGCACAACATTGGATGGAGTGATGAAGTGGTGGAAGAAGTGGTGACGGGTTGTGTATTCCCTGCGGGTGCGGGTGCGCTCCATGCAAGAAGTGCCACAGGAGCGACGGGAACGGTTGGGACGAGGGGTGCGGGTGCGCTCCATGCAGGAAGCGCCACAGGAGCGACGAGGGCTGTTGGGACGAGAGCGGCGGGTGTGCTCCATGCAGGAAGCGCCACAGGAGCGACGGGGGCGGTTGGGACGAGGGGTGTGTAGTGTACCGGGACGGTGGGCCAAGTGGTGGGAAGGGGGACGTAGTAGTTATTGTTTGTAATGGATACGGGAAATCCATTGCTGCAGCCAGTTGCGCAGGCATTCTGATATGAGTTTGGCAAGGGGGCGTTAGTAGTCTGGTTTGGCCATGTAGCGGAGGATTGATTTGGCCAGGGAGCGTAAGTTTGATTTGGCCAGGCAGCGTGAGTTTGATTTGGCCAGGCAGCAGGAGCCTGGTTTGGCCAGGGAGCGTGAGTTTGATTTGGCCAGGCAGCAAGAGCCTGGTTTGGCCAGGGAGCGTGAGTTTGATTTGGCCAGGCAGCAAGAGCCTGGTTTGGCCAGGGAGCGTGAGTTTGATTTGGCCAGGCAGCAGGAGCCTGGTTTGGCCAGCTGGTGGTAGTTTGGTCCCACCAGGGCATGCAGTCACTGGGCCACTGGAAATCGTTATGGGTATTGCTATTATCTAAAGGAAGTGTTCATGAAACGTTGGATACGAGCTGAGAAGCAGGCATACAGTTTTTCGGCCTTACAAGAGACGAGAAGAAACGGCAAAAGGAGGGTCTCATAACGAGGACGTTATCGAGAACTGGGCAAGGTTATCGGAGGGAAGAGAAGTTGGGTCCACAAATCCTGTCGGCTCGCGCTTTATAGAGATGACGCGATGCGTAATCCGTCGCAAAACTGTAGGGACCTACTTCCATTTCCATCTATCACTACGAGTCAATCTGCGAGACCTGCATCGGATTAAGGAACGCGAAGTAGGCTCCTTTCTTGTAATTATTGTCGTCCATGAGTGGCGAATCGAGTAACAGTGTCATGGCAATCGTCGGTTGGTTTTGTTACATTCGTAACCTTGTATTCTGACATTTCGAACTTTCAGCGGAGCCCGGAATTTTGACAAGAAGATCTTTTTGTCGGACGCATCGTTGTTGTTCGACGTTCAATGACCATAAATTTGGAAAAGAGGCGATCGCGCTGTTTGTCAATGTCATTATTTGTCTGTATAGTACTTGGTACAAGCGACTACAAGCGGGGCCACAAGAATCTACAAGGACCCACAAGAAATTTATTTCAAATTGTGACTTGTCGGAGTAAGGCAGAGTACAGTGCTTTGCATTGCCGT